GGTTTTCACTGACAAGAGTGGTGTCTAGTGCTCAGTGTTTTCCCTGTTGAACAACGACATGCAAGAATTTGGTTTCTTGATGCTGACAGGCTCTGTTGAAAAGAAATGCTCCTTCAGGTTTGTGGTTTGCCCCAGTTGATGAGCAACTGTCCAGCATGGCATCTTGCACAATCCTGACCATGGACCTTCTTAAAGTCATGGCTTGTTGTCCAGGCACAATGGTGGGCTACCCCTCTGGCAAAACCTGATGACACTGAACGGCGACAACCACAACACAGCCTGGGTGCAGAATATTGAGACAAGGAAGTTGAAGGTTGTCTAACTTCACAAGCAACCTGTTGAGGGTGCAGATTTGGATGCAGGGTAGGTACAGGTAGCCTCTGGCTACATGTCCCCAATCAGTGCGCCTGTCAATGAACGTTCCCTTGCCCACTTTCCAAGCCTCTGGGATGTGATGCATCAGTTTGGTGAGTTTGCTATGCTGTCAACAATGTTTGCGCACTGTGAGCTGGTTGTTGACGAACAAGTCACAGGAGAGTGGGATTGAGAACTTCTGTTTCGCTGCAGCTAGCCATCACAGTGCAAAACAGTGCGGTTGCCTGGTTGGTGTGGGTTATGAGGGAAAGATCAGCCGGGAAATGGGGCTGATGGACAGCCTGGGCACTCTTATCCGATGCCTGGCGCCTGCGTCGCTCGCCTGCAAGTCGTCTGGCAGCCGCCTGAAATACACGACACGACGCCGTGGCTCCCCACTCAGGGCTTCCAGCCCACTGCCGTGGCAACGTGTGGCCCCAGCACTGGCCCCTGTTGCAGTAATTGGGCTCAATGTCATGTGGTGGCATTTGGCCGAATCGGGCTGCTACCGCCCAAATTTGCTCCAAAATAGCCTTGGGGCCGGAGGTTGCTGCATTAGCGCACTAACTCTTGCTTGCAGCGTAGGCGCCTATAGGCCCTGCTGGCAAAGTCGACGACCAATTCAAAGGAACGGTCGTAGACAGCAGCAGGAGGTTATGATGACTGCAGGGGGTTTTGGTGGCCTCGTTGAACTGGCGGCATGGGAAAGAGTGGCGTGCTGTTTTTAAAACGTTGGTGGTGTTGGCAGGCAGTCGCAACGGTCGTGCATTCGTGTCATCGGTGCCACAGGCTGGCGAGCAATTCCGGTGAGCATTACAGTGCTGGTTGCGCTCTGGACGGGTTTGTTTTGGCCGTTGTGAAATGGCAGCACGCGAAAGGGTGGGCAGTTTGGAAAAGTTGTTGTTGTAGGCAAGGGGTCGCCGTGTCCATGTCGCGTCATGAACTTCACAAGCTGGTGAGCATTCTGGCAAATCGTTCTTAAACGCCAGATCTGGCGGTGGTGGGAACTGCACAGGTTTGCTTTTGGAGGGCATTCTGAATGGCGGCTTGCAAAAGGGGGTTGCTATTTGAAGTTTTGTGTTGTGGGCAGGGGTTCGCCGCATCCATGTCATGTCGTGATCTTCACATGCTGGTGAGCATTCTGGCGAGCGTGCTGGTGGCAGTGGGGACCGCATCGGACTGGTGCTCGGCCCCCTTGGTATTGCTGCTTGTCAATCAGGGCTTGGACAGCTGGTTGCAAAAGTTTGTGCTGTGTGCAGGTCACGTTTCGTGAGTCGACACGATTAAAGGTGGCGAGATTTCTGCGGCACGGGCGAAGTGACCGGTGGACCGCCTAGCGGCCACTTTGAGGGCGCGGCGCTGGAGTTGCAGCCTGAACTGTGGGTCGACGGTTGTATGGGAGAAGTTGCAAAGCAGCTTTCTTCTCCCTCATCCCTCCTGGCCTATGGCCATCGTCTCTGCAAGTGAAGTGCACCCATGATCTGCCTATAGGACAAGGTGTCCCACAGACCGCATCGCAGCGAGGACGGGGTTCTTTCAAGACCCCGTCCGGCACACTTCGGACCTGGTCCTGCGCCCTCCGGACCTGATCCTGCGCCCTCCGGACCTGGTCCTGCGCCCTCCGGACCTGGTCCTGCGCCCTCCCGGACCCCGTCCTCCACCCTCCGGACCCCATCCTACACCCTCCAGACCTAGTCCTGAGTCCTTAGGAATGGTCCGGCACCCTCCGGACCTGGTCCTGCGCCCTCCGGACCTGGTCCTGCGCCCTCCGGACCTGGTCCTGCGCCCTCCGGACCTGGTCCTGCGCCCTCCGGACTTGGTCCTGCACCCTCCCGGACCCCGTCCTACACCCTCCGGACCCCGTCCTACACCCTCCGGACCCGGTCTTGCGCCCTCCGGACCCGGTCTTGCGCCCTCCAGACCTGGTCCTGTGCCCTCCGGACCTGGTCCTGCGCCCTCCGGACTCCGTCCTACTCCTTTCCGGACCCCGTCCTACACCCTCCGGACCCGGTCCTGCGCCCTCCGGACCCCGTCTTGCACCCTCCGGACCCCGTCCTGCGCCCTCCGGACCCCGTCCTGGGACCTCCGGACGGCGTTCTATCCCATCAGTCATTGTCGGCATCCACCGCCGGACTCCGTCCGGGACCCTTCAGGCCCCCCCCTGGACCGGTCCGGTTATGGCCAAAATACGTCCGGGACTGTGCATCCAGGACCCCATCCCGGACGTGGTCCTGGACGCCAGGACCTGGTCCTAGAAATACCCCGTTTTACTAGTGAGTGTTTTGCGCTATTTATTCACAACAGGCTAAGACAAGGTGTGATGTCATTTCTTTCCAATATTTTTGGCTTAGGCAAATGTATTTTATGTGTTTTTGTGATGCTTGATAGCCTAACAGGGATGTGACCTGCCACACATGGAAACATCAGGAAAATGGTTGTGAATTTGGTCATGAAAATTATGGACTTTTGTTGTTGATGCATTGGGTGAGTGTTTTAATTCTTTAATTCGATCAAGAAATATCACTGGGTTGATCTGTGGCATGGTTGTAATATCACAGCGTTGCTTGTGAGCAATACATTGTAGTGCGGGAAAAGGGCAATTGGAGCCATAGGTGTGAATGAATATTCCTGCGCATCTTTCAGGTCGCGGCACAAATTCGATTGTGGTGCTGCGTGTGTGCTGGAAATGTGACGAAGCAGTGAAGTGATGTCCACCTGAGCGTTGCGACGCAGTTATGTGAGGATTAGAAGAACATGTTGTGAGCTTTGCCGAAGCACGCTCAGGTGTGATACGAATAGCAGAGTATGAGGCGCAAGGAGACTAAGAATGATGTGAACTGCCATGTTTGGATGTGACCTGATAGAAATTGTATAAGATTGGGGTGTACTGCCCTTCTGACGTGGCTAGGGTATTTGGGGGAGCGGCTGCCATGCTGTGTTGTGGCCCCAGGCTGCATGCTGCTGTGCCCAAGTGTCTGAGGGGCTGAACGGACAGACCATGGTGTGTGAAGTTGTAAGCACTCAGATGGGATTCTCCTCGTGTGCGACACATGCACACACACTGTGGCGAGCAGCCCGACCAAATCGGCTCCACAGCCAAGAGTTTGAGGTCTCCTGCGCTCGAATTTTAGCAGAGCGCGCCCATTGCAATCTTGTCATTCGGGTGCATGGGTTTCCGAGCGATTCTGTGAGAATCGAAGCGGCTTCCTGCGTGTTTCTCACCCAAGTCCCGGATTTCTGCATGAACCTGGAGGTGCAAGGCCCGGAGGCCAATTTGAGACAGGTTTTCCGAGGCACAATTGCCAGCGACGTGTTCGCAGGGGAGCTGAACGACCCCAGATTTGTCTCCTTTGACGCAAATCCAATCGAGCTGGAAGGCGGGATAGGCGAAGGCTTGGCGCTTTGTGAATTTTCGCCCACGTGGCTGCCATGTCAGACGGCTACCTGTTTTTCACATGACAGTCAATCATCACACAATATTGCCATCGCGAGGTGATGGCAGGGTGGCCGTACGTGGTGTGGCAGGTGAGGGAGGACGGGAAAGCCACAACACAAAAGACTGCCACAGAGCAGTTCAGACGCTCAACCGATCATCATCCTCATGCCAGCCAATCATAACATAATATTGCCATCGCGAGTTGATGGCACAATGACCGCACCTGGTGTGCCAGGTAAGGCGAGTGAGGACGGGAAAGTCACCACAACACAAAAGACCCCGGTCGTGCCCTTCACACGCTAAGCCCACGCGTTCGGGGCGCCAGTCAATCATCCCATGATGTTGCCTTCGTGTGGTGCACTGCCGGCACGCTCGCCCGTTGTAGGCTCCCCACACTTTGCAACACAGCATGACATGACGCTGCCAGCAGGTCGACGGTCGGACACCTGCTCACTTGCGCGGGGCTGCCGTATGCCTGCCGTATGCCCTCATGTGTTACTGATGGTCAACTTTGAGCGGCCCAAGACAGCGCTCAGTCACCATGGTGCGGCGCCATCGCCGGCCCAAGGGGCGGGTGGTGCTGTGCTTACCGATGGGCCACCAGTCGGCCAGCTGGTTAGAAGTCGCGGCGGTCAGAGGCCCTGCGGGGGCTCATCGACGAAATGCGAATTGGTAATACCCCGGACCACTACAACAGCAGCACGAGGGCGCGCCCCAGGCGTCCGAAGCCGTCAACGGCCGCCCGGCAATACGACAAATACCCTCACGTAACTATGACCTGCGCCCCACATCTCACCGTCACCCCGCCCACATCAGGCTTGATGGGTACGGGCGACCTGTACAGCCCCCCAAATACGACCCAGCCCCCCCACGCATTATGGGTGATTCGCCCTATCTAGGGTGCAAGCAAAGTAGTTAGCGGTGTGTCGGCCCGGCCATCGACAGAAGGGCGCGGGAGCCCGCACCCCCCAGGCAGCCCCAATCGCCCGCATCGTACCGCCCACGTTAGCCCCATATGTTGTGGGCATCCCTGCGCAGCCCAAGGAAGAAACTGCTTCCGTTTGGCTCTCCCAAGGGCGGAGAGTGTGTAAGGGGAGGGGCGAGCGGCGAGGCAGTACAACACTCGGGGTGCTTCTGGCAAACAGCAGCCCCCGGGCGGTCGACGACTCTGGCGCGGCCAAAGGTCGCTGCGGGCGGAAACGTCGCGGGGATGGAATCGGCGGTGTGCTTCTCAGACATTGACGGCACGCTGGTGCACAGCGAGGCGGAGCAGGCGCGGTGGGGGGTGTTGGCGGAGGAGCCGGACGAGCAGGGGCTGTACGCGTTCCGAGACACGGTGAGGCTTGGCCCCGCGGGATGCGATTTGGTACCTTCGACTTCCAAATTGGGGGGTGGCGTGGACCCGCTGCGGAGGGCGGCGCGTCGGCGATCGTTCAGACCGCCGGACGCGTGCCGGCATTCGCCCGGGAGGGCGGTGGAGAGAACGCCTTCTGCGCTGACCGCCTGCTCAGGGACGAGGTTCCAACGATGTTCGCTGCGTTCGAATTGGGTTCGTCGACGGCTTGGCGCTTCGCGGGCCGGGAGCCGACCCTCCGAGCGGGTAGCCTCCGCGGGTGCGCTGCTCGGCGCTCCCGCTTTGTCCTGACGAGTCATGTCGGCGTCAAACTCCGGAACTTCGTGATTGGCGACGGGAGCCTGCGGTGCTGTTGATCCCGTGCCTTCGGGCCGCGACCGTCGATGTTCGACATCCGGGCGGCGAACTGGGGACCGCTGGGGGCTGGGCGGGGTGCTTGGGTTCGTTTGTTTGGCCGTCGCCCGTGCCGAAGGGCGAGGCGGTGGGGTTGGTGATGTGGATTCGAATCACCCCCGAAGGGTCAGCGCGGAGCTGCAGCGCGCGACATGTAAGGCATACGTTTGTGCATGCTGAGGGGCCCGTCATGCCTGGGAATGGGGGGGGAATGTTCGGAGCCAAGCGGGGGGTGCCGACAGCATCCGCGCGAAAAAATGCGCATGTCGCAGAGTTCCTCGAGCGGAAACAGCAATGCGCATTGATGGAAGTAATGTTAAGCGGGTCGCACTCCTAGTTTGAACCTTGATTACAAGGCAGCAAATCTTGTGATCTTGACAGTGTCTTGTGTGCCAGTCCTACCCCCTGCACCAAAACCTTGCAAAAGGGAGCCCCACATTGTGGAGCAGGTGGGGTGATACCTGGAAGCGAAAACTACCATGTGAGGCATTTGTGGTACATGCAGCCTTTATGAGATCCAGGGAATTCAGAATCTGGGATCCCTATCCGTGAAAAGCGTTGTAGCCATCAAAGCCACCGTATTTCTCCAGAATACGGCAATACCACAAGCGCTGCTTCCCCTCGGCGCTCTTTGGCTGTGAATGTTGGTGTCGCGTTCGAAGGAATTTGAAGCTTGATCAGTGAAATTTGCTGTGCTTTGCAGATGGGGAAGGAGCATCATTTGATTAAGATGCCAGTGTCATTGACGTACTCCGAGGTGAGAAAAGGCCATTGATTTATGCATGGCTTCATATTACGTGCCAAGACCCTTGCGATGTAAATAGGATCAGTATACTTAGAAAAGTTTCACGTTCGGTCAAGATATGGATTCCCAGCACTGAATATCAACAAGGTACTGAAATGGCACCAATTTGACTTCTTCTGTGACTATTTGAGTCCATGGGAGCCGACATATTTCTTGTGTTGGGAGCCGACATATTTCTTGCGCTGTGCATTCAGGGAGTTATATCCGTTTCAACGCTGCACAAATTGGCGAGAGTGCGGTCTGTGGGCATACCCGTGACCCTCATAACCGGCGCTAGGACGATGACTTTACTACAGCGCCTACCATTTCTGCCGTTGGCCGACGCCTACGTCTCAGAGAATGGTATGCAGGGAGCTCTCAAATTGTATGCATTCAATGGAGCAGCCACCACATTATAAGACACTGCTTCAAGCACGTTTTCCTTGTGTTGATAGGATAATGTTCTGGCAGCTACTCTGCCAGAATTGTGCTCTAAATCCAAAGCCGATTACGTTAACCTTTCATTTTGCGCCTTTGCATGTATCAGTGTGTAATAATCGCGAGTAAGACGTTGACTAGTGAGTCGAACCACAGCACGGAATTTCTGAGATCAGCTTTGCCGAACACAGCGAAGTGTATCCGTTGCACTAAATCTGGCAGCTATACGAGCGTATTGCCACAACAATATTTGCAGTTTCTGTGTCAGCACTCGGAGACACCAACAACGTAGTCGCGATCTATAGTGAGTACCGAAGGTGATCTAGAGAATGTGCGCACAGTTGCTTTGGGATATCCATCATCTCCTGGGTGTGAAAAAAGCATTTTGGTAGCCTGTGGAATGCCGCACATTTTAAACATGAAGACGCCAAATCGTGAAGTCAATTTGTTCAATTCTTCAGTTCCTATATTCATGCGACAATGCATGCTTCCGCTGTGATCAGCGCCTTCGCTGCTCACGGCTTGGGCCTGTGCTTTTGGGGTGCTACGGCAGGTGGGAGGATTTTCTACCACAAGCCAGCCTTGCCCTCAGGTGTGTGCACAAACCGAAGTTTTCGATTGCTGGCCTGAAAGGCACTTTGCCCCAGCATATGCGGTCGATCACTGGCTGAACTTTCCCTCACAACCGCCTGCTGGCTTAACCAGCTATCACACTTGCTGTAGCGGCATCTGGAGTGTCTAAAGTCAGGTACTCCAACTGCGCCCATTCGTTAGAGGATTTGAAATTCGTTGGGGTGCACAGTGATGTGTACATGCAATGGGCGTTGCGGCCAATTTGCTCCACCCAGAATTAACGGGCATTTGTGCACACGTCTCAACGCAGCCATCCAACACTTGGACAATGCGGTTGTGTGGCATTTGGGGTTTGATTTTGCGTGTTTCAGAAGTCGAAACGGAACGTGAGCCCACCCCGTTTCGGTTTGGGCCGGAGCTGGGAAACCTTCCGTTTCCCCGGTTTATGCACATGGCGACCTCGATGTGACTTCACGAGGGGTGTGCCGACCGTGATCGCGATCAGAACACTGATCCCCGCGGTAGTGCCGTACTGCCATTTTGACGCCGTCCGGTCATGCGCGATCACTTTGCCCCCAGCGCTGGTGCGTGTTGCAACCGCTGTACCGTGCCCGAGCGGTACCAGGGTGAATTGGTGAACGCCGTCAAACGCGCTGTTTCAACACGGCAGCAGGGCGAAAAAGGCACCGGCAGAGTCTGTCTTCCCCGAATGCCCCAGGCGTCCGTGTCCCAGCCCGCCACGAAGATATGGTGTGCGGTTCCCCATTGGGATTTCGCATCGGCATGGGCCCATGAATTCAAGCCCAATGGCTGCGTCAGGGTACCCTATACCGGCGCTGGGGATACGCGTGCGCGGCGCCGCAAAGGCGCGGTTTTCACCCACAGATCCAACAAACGGCCTCACCCTAGCTCTGTGCACGCTCGCGCTGCCCACAAGGGGCGATTGGCCACGTTCCACTTCGCTGCGGGCATCACAACTCCCGGGGATGTCGGCACAAACAGATGAGGGCCGAAACCCACCTGGGACGCGCCCACGCGGGTCGCCTGCATAACAGTTCCATTTGTTAGCCCGGTCCGCCGATCATCAGACAGTGGACGATGCCTTACAAATATTCCCAACCGCGCCCGTCGCCTGGCCACCCTCGTTGTCCTTCGCCTTGAGCAGCGGTCCAAGGTTAGTGCCCCTTCTTGCGCTGGGCTCCGGCACCCCCGCTTGCGCTGGGCCCTGATGCGGCGGTTCAAATGGCGATCAGCGCCCCACGCCACGAAAAAGCGCTAGTGACGTTCGGACGGGGGCGTCACGCCCGAGCGGTACGCCTAGTGATCGGAGATCCCGAGGCGTGCAGTGTTACGTAACTCCTGCTCAAACGGCAGGTACTCTTCCAGCTAACGGACGACCGGGGCAATGACGGGACGGCCGCACCGCATGCCGTGTGTGTGCTGGTGCGGCCTTCTTTTTTCGCCTCCTGGAAAAAGCGGCAATGGGAGCATGACCTTGTTGTGCAGCACCGCGTCAAACGCCATCACGTGGCTTTATCGGGTTCTTGAAGGAAAGGCCATTGATGCAATTCAAACGGCCCCCTTCGTAGTGCACATGGGAAGTGCGAATCCACGATCGCCGATGCTTCAACGGGTTGGCACACGGCCAGATGCAAGGCCACACCACACAAAAAAAACCCCAGGGCTTACATATTTGTTCAACCTTCCCACAACGAAGAGCCTTGCCGACGGTGGCAATGACCCCCGCAACCGAACAATACGAATTTTCTAGCACCCACAGAACTCTTCCTTTAACATGACAACGACCATCATCAACCAGCCATACAACACTTCAGATATGCCTACACATTGCCGCAATGCAGCCTACTTTATAAAACATATGTCAAAGGTTCCCATACACTCAGTGGTAATGTACAAATATGTACAAGCCACACACCATAATGCATAAGTGATCCACCCAGTGAAACGGTGGTCATTATGCAGTGTCGCGAACAGGCTCCCATGGCAACCTGGAGGTCTTGCAGCCACCCCCAGCACGTTCCGTGCTGGAATGCGCTGAAAATGGAAACACGCCAGACCCTCTCACATTGCACTGTCAATCGCGCTGTGCCCTCCACCGGTGCGACTCGAGCAGCCACGATCACCTGGAAAGTCTCCAACCTATAGGACCCCAACGGAGGCTGTGTAATCTCCCCCTTCCACCCGCCACAACATTGGAATGCTCACAGGAAGGACAGCACTTGTGCTTGACGGGTTCCTTCCTGCCCGACATGCACAATAGGCATTCCAACGTCCACTGCCTGTGATCATCAAACGCAGATTGCCCTTGTCTTCGTTTCACAAACCAAAAGATATGAATCCCTAGAATTTACGTCTCATTGTATTTTCAAACCGAACTCAATCTCGAAGGGAAGGTACTATGTCGAAAATGGTACACTTAGCATCAATTGGACGCAAGGGGTGGGGTGGGGGCTAGACCTATGAGGCTAAGAGATTATGTAATTAACACAATTTCGACATAATGTCTGAAGATATACAAAACACCGTTGATCCAAGGCAGACGGCTTGTGACTTGTTCCAAACCCCACCCCCACCCCCCACCCCCTCAAGCGTTCAAACTTAAATGAAGACCGCAGAGTACCCCAAACATACAGCCATCAGGGCTGCCCTAATCACCTGAAATGGCATTTACCATCACGTTTTTCCATGCATTACAATCGCTACAATTTTGGCAGTTCACCTTCCTTAAAAACACCTTGAAATCTCTGTTATGGAAGTTTTCTGAGTCATCCTGGCATCGACATAAGGATTCACGCTGAAGGGTTGGGGTGGGGGGTTTGGGGGTGGGGGTCTGTGCTCGACGTCAAATTGACGCTGAGCGTACCCAAATCGACATAGCCTCTTCCCTAAAGGATGGGCGGGTGAATGTAAAGCAAGGTGCTCGGCAGTCATCGGGCACTCCTCAAGAAGGCTGCCTACAAACCGAGAAGATTGCCAACACACCACCTTCAAACGCAAGCTTTGGCTCTCTTTGAAACTCGTGGAAGTGGCCCAACAGATCCCTGAGCCCACGTTCGAACGCAGCTTGTCGACCAAAGCGTCCAAGTTGCCAAGGAGCGGGGAAACCAGAAACCTCAAAGCGCCCACCCCGCGTTTCCCTAATCAGAAACTCATGAGCTGATCGACTTGATCTCAGTATGTCTAGGAGGCCCGCACACAACGCTTCTTAAACGACGAATTGCCTCTAGTCTAGGACGGATGGCGAATGTCCTACCCACCATTGCCGAATCTTACTGCCACCTCTTCTCGGCCTCACATACCCTCCCTCTCGAAACCTACGTGCTTGTTGGGAGATTGTGGCATTCCTGTTTGCAACTGGTTCATGCCAGACAGTTGCAACCCGCAGAATGGCCGTTGGCATTTCGCGTTGCGGTATTCGTCAATCAATTGACTTCCAGCATGCTCAACAGATTTCTGAGTGTCCCAGGATGCAGCTGCGACTCTGCATTTAGCAATTTTTTCGCTGGAACACGTTGCAGCTGCAATTGCGGTCTTAAAATGCTCGTATCATGTCTTTCGCAAGTTGCTATCACTCCTTGTCTGAATCGTATTCTGTGGGGTGACAAGCGGTTGGACTGGTTGAAGACATGGCATGGCGGAGGGCCCAAAATCGTGTTGTGGGTCCGCACCAGCAAGAGTCAAGGCCCCCGGAGGACAGAGCGGTAATCACATGCTTGCCTGTCGTCAATAATTACGTATGTTTCGTCAGTTGCTATGCGGGCATTCCACAATGTACAGCAGATGCCTTACGCTGGCGTGAAACTGTCCTTTCTGCGCAATTCCAATTTATGCTTACGCTGTGCAGCATTGCTACATCGTTTGACACGGCTGGAAGCCATGTACAGCTGTGCTGCGCTTCTTTCGAAGAATGCCATCAGACCCAGTAGTGTAAATTGCAACCCCGCAGCCTCGACCATGATTCACCAGTGCTGTGTCTCTGTGCTTTGGCAGCGTCTGCATGCCCCCGGTGGGACAGCGGCAGCGCTTGGCCAATGCACGCATTTCAATTCCACGTTTAGAACCTGCTGCATTGCTGACATCGGGTATTGGCAGTGTAAACCACGCTGAAATGGACTAAACCGTTTACCAATATTCTGCACCGCGTGTGTTCGAGATTTTTTCGCCAGTAAAACCGGATATGTCCACAAAAGCACACGCACCAAACGCATGCACAGAGCTCCCTGGGTACGATATTCTGGCTGTGTGGGGCGGCTGCTTCTGCAACTGCACATCATCGAAATCGTGCATGCAATGTCCCTTCACTCTGTGGATGCCAAAGATTCTCAGCCACGCTGCTGTTCAGGGCTTGCTGTGGGATTTGTACCGGGACCTTCTCAAAGATGGCTGGAATATCGATGCGAGGGGTTACACGACATGCCTGAGGTGAGAGTGATAACCGTTCAACACTGGCAGTGTTGGTTTAATGGCAGTGCCATTACATGGACAGTGGCTTGTGTCATTGTGAGAACTGCTGCAATTGTGGGCCAGAACAGACTACGAGTTTCCAAGGTCCCCGCGAACGCGAAAAGGTGCAACGGGTTGCGAAAGTGGTGATAAGTGAGTGTCACAATTTGAATGTACAATGACGTTTTGAAACCTCCTGCTCGGAAGTACATGTTCACTGGCAGGAGGTGCAGGGCAAGGAAGGGTAGCTTCAGTCATGTGGTGTGTAAATTCCTCGTCCACTGTATATACACGCTGGAAGCAGCACAGGACCTTGCAGCGATCCCCTGGGATAACCAAATTGGAACCGATCTGATCACCTGTCTATGTTATACGGCGCGCCATGTGCAGCGCTTCCAAAGCAACGCCGCAACCGTATTGTGCTGCTGCCGTGCCAGTTTCTGTGGTCTCAAGGCCGCAACGGACCGAGCTTCAAGGCTTGAAAAATGCCTTCCCTGCGGCTGGTCCGAGATCGGCGAGAATGCGCCCGTGGGTCGCACAATTCCTACATCTACGAACGAATTGTTAGAGCCTCGCCTGCTTTTGGTTATGACTTATCACGGGGCAAATGCGGAAATGCCACTCCCTTGCGCAGTTGGAATGGAACAACATTATGCGTCTTTTTCTGACGTCTTGACTAAAGTGCCGCCTTTTGGTTGTTACAGGATCAAGTCCCCTCCAGAGGGCAAGGCTATGTCTGACATCAACAGATACCTGCTTGGTCAGGAAGACCTCGCACATTCGGACAACTTGGGGACAATGAATGTGTACGCCGCCAGCAGCGGGAAGGTGATCACTGTCCTCACACTTAGCCACGCTGATCCCGCCGCACGTGCCATTGGCAGAGGCGCGAAATGCTGGAACATGAGCTTGTGCCGGCGGAGCAATTTTCCAACTGCTTGCCATTCGATTGTCTTTGCTTGCCCCTTTTATTTGATTGAACGCTGCGAGCACGTAAGGAATGGGAACAATCACTGCGTAAATACACCAGTTGGAACTAATCTGCCGTGAAGCGTGCACCAGATACCGTTAAATTGCTTCTTCGATACAAAACGTGGCCTAATCCAAGTCATGTTGAGAGAGGATCTCGATGCTCATCGAGCCATTTCAGATGACTCTGTTGCGGCTGCTGGTCTCAGGCAAACGCTGGCCTCCACGTCATGCACCATTTCAGCGCTTCGCCGAAGTTGTCTGTTTTCTTGTGCGATGATGACAACGACATCGGGCTGGCGCGGAATGTTGGGAGGGCGTTCCTTCCTTCAATCACCCAGGTGAGCGACACTGGAGTGGAGCACAGCAATCCGCCATCTGCGATACGCTATTTGCACGTTGCTACCAAATCGATTCGTCGCCAAAGTTATGCATTCTGCGCAATCCAACAACCGCCTCATGGTGCGTAAATGTCTTTTTTCATGCCTTTTTGTTGGTAAAGGCGTCCGCGTTTTCCTCTGAACGCCCTTCGACAACGGAACGGCGGAAACTGTTGTGATGTTCACAAGTTCGAGGGGTGGCAAATGCGATTTCCATCGGACGTATAGCAATGCTGCTGCAAGTTTTTGCTCTCAGGAATCGATGCAGAGGGCGGTCGAAGAGGACCCCGACCATTTTGAAGTCGTCAGGGACGTTGGAGGCACGCTGGCCACAGACAAAGCGCTTGACGCCGTACTGGCACATTACGAAATCGATTCTGAAATGGACAGCGACGATGATGAGGAAGAAGGGGAAGAAGATAACGGGCAGGAGGGGTAAGACAGGCAAAATCCCAGAAGAAAGGAGCTTCGGGTTGCGCGGTGTGCAAACCTGCAAGGAAACGCCATCCCTGGCGGGGAATTTGAGCATTTGAGAATGGCAAATTCATCTGATTGGTGACGGACGGTTCTTCGATCGGTCAGGTGGTGCCTGAATTCTCGCATGTCAGCCATTGACCAGCAGCATTTGAGAGCGAATCGGGGGCATGGGTTCTGTCAGGAGAGGAGGGATACTTGGGTTTCTGGGCAGCCATGGGCTAGGGGGCTTTTTCAGCGCGCGGCGCTAGCGCTTCCCTAAACGCTTATGGAGCTTGAACTCCCTGAAGACGCGCCCCGTTGTCATTGTCAATAAATTGAAGTGGATCTCTGTCGAGTCGGTGGGCATTGGAAGGCTTCCCAACATGGTGCACATGGTGCGCATTTCGTGGAAGGTAGAAGCTCTGATCTCGGCGGATTCAGTTCTTATGCTGTGGGTATCCTAGTGCATGGAAGAGACAAGACGGTGGGGACGTTCTTGACCGACTTGTGCTAATAAATTTCTCCCAGGCAAGCTGGCGCCATTGGCGCTGGGAATGCCCACCCACTGGTCACCGCATATGTCCACAGCCCTCAAATGGCAGTAACCAATGTGGCAGCATCGACGGAAATTCGTTTTCTTAGGGAATGCTCCCCAGGCCTGGGATGGGAAGACTTTTCAAGCGGAGACGTATGAGTCAACCACGTGGCCGTTGGCATGGTGGGCGCGAGTTCAGCGCACACACTGGAGGGGCTATTGCATGGGTATTTCAGCTGAGGTGATGTCCTGCTACACGTGGCATGTTCGCGTTAAAGTACAGTCGACGTGATTTCAATCCAGTCATGCGATCCAGTTCCTTGCTCTAGATCAGCAGGATATCTGCTTGAAATCCCCTGTCGATGTTTACTCGCGACTGCTGCGGATGTTGGTGCTGCTAGATGGCGATTCGGCGGCGAGAAAACGCTTTGGGTTGGGCTCTGTGTTGCATTGCTGGACGATTGCGCTGCGTCGCTGGGGCCTGGCGCGAGGAGAAGCATTTCCATTTACAGATGAAGGAGATGGGCTGTGTCGGGAGCGAACAGTGGAATGGCACCTATGGAAGTCCAGAGGTCTGGAATCTGCCGAGGGAATTGTGCGGGGGAGCAGCACTCGGCGATGTGGGTGCACCGACTGTTCGGCAACGCTGGGGTATTTTGGTGGTGTCAGTGTACTTTGGTGCGTGCGTTCATGGGGTGAAAGAGACCGTGGCAACTCCTGCGCACTGGACCAGTGCGCATCACAGCGCGCGTTTCTGGCCCTTGGACTTGTTTTCATGACCGAAGTAGCGAATGAAGAATGAAGGAATACACCCGATGTGGGTAACGGATTTAGGCGAATCTCGTGTAGAGCTGAACATTTTACCGAACTGGTGAAGTGGGGGAAGTCTGGGAACTAGATCAACCTCATCACTGATGTTGCAATAATAGCGGTGTCTTGTCCGCTGTCCGGCAACGACCATGAAGTTAGCAGAGAATGCTTGTGTTTCAATATTTCACGGCGACCTGCTGTGCTTGAAGCGGAAGCTTGGCTGTGTGACGGCGGTTGTTGGGTGGGAATATATCAGAGTGGGGCATTTTAGTCCCATAGTGTACACTGGATAGGTTTATTTAATCAACACGCGGTCCTGCAGGCCCGTAATGAACTGAGTGCAAGGCACCGCTTCCAACCCTGCGGGGGCGAAGGCCCGACCTGTAAAATTCGTCCAAGACAAATGGACGGCTTGAGGCACCAATGTGCATTATTGCGCATTGCGAAGTCTGCTTCTGGATTCTGGGTGTCTTCACACTGCTCTGGCGGCTGGATTTGGCGCAACCAATGCTGTGGGTTGCTTGCTGGTCCTTGCCTACCCCTGACACCCGCCTGTGAGGATCCCGTTCCTGCTCAGGGCAGGTCGGACATCAGTTTTGCAGGATGTCAATCTTTCGCAACGCGTGGGTGGGAAACCTGGGCTTGGCTTCAAAAGCAAATTAAACCGAGCGCCGCTGCAAGCAAATGCTCCTACATTGGAAAATCGAGTGGTGCAGTTTGTGGTGTGCGCAACTCTCAGCGCATGGCATACACACCTGTGGATACTGTGTGAAGCCAATCTCTCATATTTCTGGTGTCGTTTAGAAGCAAACCTACCGCGAGGCATCACTTGTGTCGCACTTTTCTTCAAAGGAAAAGTGGAATCGAATCCACTTCTGATACTTCATGCGCATGGGCAAATCACAGCCGTGCAACAGTTACTGTCGGGTCACCAGTGTTGGGGGCACAAATCTGAATATGGGAATCGTAGTCTGGTGACACCAAGTGGCAGGAAGCACAAGAAAAGAAAACGAACTTTGAAGAATCTTGAATTGCGACGGTGACGTTTCATAGCCGTTGCGCTGTACGTTTTGGAACAGCTCTTTCCGTACCACCTCGGATAAATCGACCATTTCATCTATGTCAATTGGGGCCCGGTGGCCAATACTTTCCCTTGTTAAGCTCATTGCCAGCAACGTTGGCACTGAATTGAAATGCGCGAAAGGAGGCCTTATGGATGCACGCTAAGAAGAGCAAGCCCTTCGCCCTGTGTCAGGAACTGGAGCCAAGGTCCACGCGAGGGCCCTAGGGACCAACCCGCTGGGAGGCGCGAACAATCTCTGGAGCTGAATTGTGCTCGCATCGCCCTCGTAGTCCACGCCTGCGCGAATTGTAACTTGCTCTTGACCGTCGTGGATCACTGTTGAGATGGCGAATAGCTTAAGGCTGATGGTGTCCTCGCACGAACTTAATGCCGTTGTGCCCCACAGTGCCTTGGCCACTCGATCCCAGGCCATACGCCTGCATGGGGGGAACGCAAGGCAGTTTCCCATTCTGGGTGTCCTTCCTCCAGGAGCAAAGCCCAGCACAGCATGTGAGCTGCCCAGAGCTGAAAAACGGGGTCCGATTATGTGGAAGAGAACGTGCCAGGGCCCCGGAATCATTTTGCGAGGGCACAAGCATCGGCCATCGTAAGCAAAACCATTGTCGTGGAAAAAAGCCCACCGCCTTGGGATTGAATACACATACGCATCCTCCCACCACCAACCTACGTGGACATTTGTACAACAATCAATATGTGTCTCTTGCCAATGTGGAGGCTTCCCCCTGCATATCGTTCAGCGCACCAGTGGAGCGTTTGCTACCTGACGAGCCCTATGAGGCAGCTGACTTTGTCGGCCACCCGTCCACATCAGTCAGCAAGCTACCTGCTACCCCTGCACCGACGCCTCAGTGACTGCTCAATTTATTCGTATCCAAGCCACACAATCTGCTACCACCACGTGCGACACATACTTATGCAGTGCCAAATCATCACAATAGGCGGCTCTCCTCGACCACACAAGCTACTCGATATCCTGTATATCTAAGATTGGTCTTCTATCATGGAACTGTCTGTGCGGATTTATCACTGTAGCTAAAGACAGTACCTGCTTGGCTGGCCCAATTTGGACCAGCAACACATTATTGGCTCCACCGACCAAAGGTCGAGAGCCTCAAGGATGCCGATCACAGTGCGTGGGGGTGCTCCAGACATAGGCAACATTGCAACACCTTGCGGCACATCGTTTCTTCCCTACACCAAACCCAGATTTCAACATTCCCATCCACCAGTGAGGCCTGAACACCCTGAAAGTCAACCTCTGGTGATTACCCCTTTTGTGCCGCCAGCGCTGAGCCCGTATCCAATGGGTGGCAGTATAATCCCCTGCTGTTCCAACTTCATCCTAACATGCCTCTGCACAAGCCACATCCAGCCATGAGCATAGTCAGCAAAGAACCGCAAACATCATTCCTAAATAATGTGCGCAACACCACAACGTGATTCTGTAGTGGCATATAGAGCCCCAATAGCAACCAGACAGAAATGTGAAGCAGCAGCAGGCCTACCACTTTCATAGATTTGGGCGGCTGAGGGAGTCCCCTGAGCACAAAAGATTGGGGCACAGTTTCCATCAAGGAGGGACATGTGTCAGTTCTTGACCACGTCGATGTACATTGGTGCGCAGTGACCACCAACTCTAGATATTTGGTGCGTAGACGTGCAAATAGGTTCTAGCCAGCGTGGAAAACAACCAAGGAATACATCCATCCTGACACAACCTGTAAGCAATATACTCCCTGCCTACAAATACTGCCTGCATTACACTGTTCAGGCCAGATTCCACATTGCACGGTTGTTCAACAGACAGAATCCAGCCGCACTGTCAAGACAGACACTGCAATGCCCCATCTGTGGCCTTAAAGCCCCGAGTGGGCACATGTTGTGGCAAAGTACAAAGCTGAAGGTGTAGCACACATCGCTAAGCAAGTATTCCATCTTATCCACAGCAAGCCCACACAGCAGAACACATACTGGGCAAGGCAACTGTTCTGCATCAGCATGCAGCTGCAGGAATTAAAACTGTCAAATTCTATAAAAATTGTTCAATATGGACACTCTTCACACACTCATCACACAGCTATGCTGTCATTCATGGACGTCCAAACAATCGCCAACTTTCTTGTTAATGGCCCAGAAACTGTCACTCTCTACAGAACTTACTGGCACGCCATGCGGGTACTGCTTCAAGAGATCTTTCTCCAGCTGTCCAGCCTCCCTGTAGTGTGTGTATGCTGCCTGACGATCGGCATCGACTGCATTCCTTTGAGCCTCCTCCATCTCACCTACCCTTGTATGCCGAGCTTCAAACTGCAGTCGGGCAGAATGGCGCATGCTATTCGCAGCCTGCCAGAGCAAGGAACAATCATCAGTGGCAGCAGATAACCAGCGAGTATCCTCACTCTCATAGGACAGCCTATTCCAGTTGGAAGCCGCTGGACATCACGGGAACGTGCAGAACACAGCTCTTCAAGAGGAATGTGGAACGCAACTCATTGGTTTTGTGCCTTGCTGTTCTGTTGCAGTTTCCAGAAACACTATGTCTCTCCTGAGCTGACAATACAGCCACTGCTGGAAACTTGTCAGGCACAGGCATGGTGGACAGCTGCAGTCTTGCAAGGAAGGGACAGGACATCAGGACAGATGTGACTTGGGCTCATCGGCAGATGTGCACAGTTTCGCATTCATGAAACAGGGTACTAACATTGCAAAGTCCAACAACGGGTGCTATCACTCTGGCAAATACAGCGCACAGCCCATCTTTCTCAGCAGGCCAATGCATTGAATGCAGCAACTGGACACCTGCCAACAAATTGGGTTTGCAACTCACAGATGGTGGCCGAGGAGGCGTGTAACCATTTCTGCTGCCCATCAAGGGGTTCTCCGGAGAGGTCTGCAGGTTGGGGGTCCTCCTGCCAGATGGTGTGCTGGGACGCTGTGGACTCCCATTGTCTGAGCCACCACTGTAAAAAGGATTCTCTTTGGACGTTTGGTGCATCTTTCGTCCAGTTAAGGGTGCACTGGCAGGCCGGGTAATCTGGGCACCCCACTCCCGGCGTTGGCGTGCATGCAGGGGATTGTCAGCAGACGTCCTGTTGGACATTGAAAAAGTGTCGTCCTCATCATCTTGTTCGAAACCTTCCCCGTTCATGAGCGGATTGTCCAACGATGTTCGGTACAACTGGCATGCTCTGCGAGTACGCTCCGCACGCCTTGCCTGGAAAACAGACACAAATGTCAGCTGCAGCGCATGGCGTGGTCAACTCATCTTTCAGAGGGGAATCCAAAGGGCTGTCACCAGTCTTGGTTCCAACGGAGAGCAGGCATAAATGCGCCGCTGGCTTGTTGCTTTCCATCAATGTGACCTGTGCCCAAATGTTGCACCCCAGGCTGATACATTGGAAGCCATTCTTCCACCCCCTGCTCCCGGCGTCACCATTAAAAGAGAAAAACGTTACGCCTGATGACACCCGATGGACTGCTTTCTTGTCTTTTCTGCATCTTTGCCCATTTGCCTGTGTTGACTCCCCCAGCAACCCAGTTGTATGTGGAGCCAACCACCAACACCAAGCTCAGCACAGCCTTGGGCACACCTCTTCCAATTCCGCAGCCTGCTTCGCCTTCTCCAACGACTCCATGTAGTTGTAATACGCCTCGTGGCGCGCACCATTGGGCCTGCTGTGTTGTCTTTCCAGGGACTCCAAGTTCTGAACGCTCTTCTGGTCTTCAAACTCGTGCCTGCCGCACAGGCCCATCCCGTCAACCATCCCTCCCTCATGTGCACCGCCTACCCCGCCTAAGAAGGGCAGCCTGAGTTGCACATCTGTCGGTGACTATCAACGGCAAGGGGAAAGCAGGGCACGTCAAGAGATCTGGGCGTCAGGGCGTCAGGGCGGGCACTGGAACGCATTCTTGAAAATCAGCTTTCTCACCTCAGCGCTCGAACGAGGGGCCGCTCTGGAAGACCATACGTAGGGGTACCTGGGCATCACACCACAACAGGCGCGCAGAGTCAAGCTGATGCCGGCCCTGGAGTGGCATGGCGCTTCAGTTGGACCCCAAAATGACCGCACCAGCACCAAATGTTTTCCCCAAAGCGGCAGGAGGCGCCAGGCGGCGACACTGTGGCATCCCCGCCCGGCGCCAGACCGTCGCCGGAGGCAGCCTGCCTCGCTGAGCGCCTGAATCTGCGAAGCCAAAGATCCGCGCCCCTGCCATCCGCGCCCCATCGCCCTCCGCTGCGCTTCGCATGGCGAAACACATTAGAAGCCACAAAGGCTTCCACGCCAAAGGCACCGCGCGCGGGCGTGCCCCAATCCGGCTCCAGGCTCCAGCAGCGCACGCCCAGCCGCGTTCCAAACATCGGATATCCCCCCCGAGTTCAGGGGCGCCGATCGCATGCAGCAACCCCCCGGCCTTGCCCACGGGGGGCCTCGTCACATCTCACCGTCTCTGGTGTAGCATATCGACGCCTTGGGAAGGGCCGATCGGTCCTGCGACGCAACAGCAGCCCGGAGAGTCCCATGAGTGGCAGGCCGCCCACGGCGCGACTCGGTGCGTTCTGCGCCCGGCGCGTGATTCGCGGCTGGGCCTCACCGTGCAGGCGCTCCTGCCGCCCGGCGTCTCGCACCGCGGCGGCAGGCTGGCCATGGAGGGCGTGCCGGCGCGCTTGGAGGGCATGGTGGGGCGGGCGTCCAGCCAGGACGGGCCCAACGAAATTCGGCGAAGCCCCACAATCCGAGGTTTGGGGGAAGAGTTATGAGGGCGGCGAAGCTGTCAGCTGTCGGCCGTCATGCAGGCCGACGCCGGTGTCGATGACGGGCTGCCCAATGAGTGGCCACCCCCTATGGTCGCTGGACTCGTGGGAGTGTGTGTGGGGCGTCAACCCCGGCTGCATCAGTGCGTTCGCCTCGCAAGTTCGCCGTGAGCTGGACGGGCACAACCCTACACCTTGAGAGTTGGTCTTACCATTAATTATACGATACGAATACGATACGAATGTAATGTAATGTAATGGTAATACATTCGTATTACTTCTTCGATCCTTTTCCGGGGCCTGGGCTCATAGCGCGGGGTTCCTCGGGATTGGCGGCTTGGCGCTGCAGCGGGGTGCCGACAGAGCTCCCGTCAATTGCGCCGGGCTCCCAACGACGCCCAGTTTTCCTTTTGGTTCGTGCAGTTTTTGTGTTCCGTTGTGCATCTCTGGTACACAATGAAACATCAAATCAACGCAACAGAATTTGTATGAAACCAAAAGAAGCGCGCCGGCAGCGCTGTGGTCTCATAAATTTGGGAGATTGCTCCAAGCGCTGCTGTGGAGGGGAGTGCGGCCAACATCGGGTCGCCACGGGGTGCTGCGCACGCCACCATGTCACACGCGGATGCCATAAAGAGTCGCATTTGCGTTGTGGAGTGAGCACTTACCGAAACGACTATAAAATGTGGCAGCAAATTGACGTACTTCGGCTTTTCGGCTATCTTTGGGACGTGTTTGTGTTCTGGGGCATGATCTTCACTTAGCGTGCGTGATGGAATAGAGAGTCTTCGATGCACAGCCATGCTGTCGCATGTACCAGCACATCCTGAAAGCCTTTTGTGAAGGATGGGTCGTAGGCATGCACACGTGTCACTACACAAGCTGGGACAAATTCCTGGGGATCAACACTGGCAAGGACCACCCAGAGGCGAACTTTCTGCCTTCACTCCATTGAGATTGGTGTGGGGCATTGAGTCTAGCGGCACACGGAATCTTCTCCGCCGTTCGTAGCCAAAAGTTGGTGATCTGGTGAAGAGGGACCCTACCACGTATCGTTGAAAGGCGCGAATGTCAGGATGGCACACACAACCCTTGCAATTCTTGCAAACAAGACCGTATCTTTGTCCTACATTGAAGGCTCCCTGATGGGAACCAATCAACATTTCTTGCCAGATCAAACCTGGCTTGGGTTTTGGGGGGCTTCCGGCAACTGTTCAAGCCCGTATTGCCATTCAGCATAAGCACCAATCTTTCTGGGATGCAGCAACGAGTTGTGAACGGGACAAGCGCCCCTGTCGACCGAACCAAAAAAAATTATTCAGAAAGTGTTTGAACGTTGTGGATGTTTGGGACAATGTTCATAACAACTTCGGTGCAGTGCAAGCTCATCCCTTTGAGAAGAATTCTTCTCAAATGGGTGAGCTTGTACTCCCCCGAAGTTGTCCTGGACGCAATTGTAAGGAACAAGTTTGGATGCGAATCTGCATGTCGGCAACCATACTCTTTTTGTATCCTTGCACTCCGCGCCGACCATTGCCCGGCGGTCATTTTGCCTCAACTGACCCCCGGGCGTCGAGCGAGCTTTCTACGTTCCTGCCGATGGATATTAGGCATATGATGCCGCTCACAACTTCTACAAATCCATCTGCGTATGGGGCTGCATGTGACGACCTGTGGACCAAGGGAAGGGCAATCAACATTGCGTCCAAGCAATCGAAGTTCATAATGCAAGGTGTTGTCGGTCAAATTGAAGCCTGTGAAGCCCAGCATCACGACATCCACACCAATATTTCTGAGCTACCGAGCTCTTTTCGCGATTTGTCGGTGTGTGGCGGAAAAGATGCACGTTGCGGTGCAAACGTCAATGGGTAGGAATGTTCGTTACCACCAGTCTCATTGCTGCGGTCCAAAGGAAATGTTTTGGGCCAGAAGCATCGCCAAGAAAGTCGCTTGCTCTGGTGGAGTCGATGGCTGCTGTGGCGGTAAAACTAGCCTAGAAGGACGAGGCATGACTTCACAGGAAGCTGACACCAAGAGCAGCCAGACACCATTGACAGCATGAAGCGCGAATCGAGTGTCTCCGACAGAGCAGTTTGGGGCTGGAGGCCATGGCAGCAAGGAGCACAGCGGCTAGGTATGCACAGCTTGCGAGCGCTGCAGGGCTGCCCACTGCCCGAGGGTGGCTGTGAATCAGCAAGGGAGAGTTGTTGTGGCAGTCATGTGCGGTGTGGGGCGCATTGGCGTTGCCATTCACTCTCTGCACCAGATTGCTCATGGCATGGGCATTGGGTCTGCCATGGCAATGAGGTGATCAATTCCCGGTTTTCCATCCTGTCTGTCTAGACAGGTCCAGGACATCTTCGTCATCTGCGTCATCTGCGTGACGCAGCCTAATGGATGGGCAATTCAACAATTGCAAAATGTTGACCATGTGAAAAAAATATAGTCCAGCCAATGTCCATTGGCCGTTTGCAATCTCCCACTTCTGCAATTTGGTGCCATTGCAGCAATTTAGGAATTCTGGGGCACTCGCTTAATAGCCAATGCCTCCATCCATCCAAAACGGTTTCCAATCAAGGGCGCCACTGCAGTGCTAAAAAGGACACACAGCCGCAGCGGCACTTGCCAAGCAGCCCGGAATCATAGGCGTCTGCCATTTTCGGACCTTGCGCTTCAGGACCTGGCAAACATATGAAGTTTCACTAACATCTTCCTAACAGGGAGAAACCACATTCACAACCTCAAGTCCAACAGCCACAGGCACATGGAACCTTCGATGGCCATGAAAGTCAGGACCTGACTGTTGAAGTACAATTGAGACTTGACCAACTGACAATAGAGAAGGCATGCAGTTGATTGCCAGTAACACTCGTATGGGCATCCCCATCGCACCCAACGCTGCCCCAAACAGTGTGGTATATCGTTGCGCTCACAACATATGGGCCAAAGTCGTATGGACAGCAGCACTGCTGATCGCATGAATGCCGATACAATCTGTTGTTCAGTGCGCGAGTGATCCTCATGCCATCAGGCAATGAAGACAAACTGATGTTCCCACTTGTAATCATCGATGCACCAAGACGCGAGACATCTTGCTGGGAGGTTCCAGCCTTGTCATGCACCACAGAGCCGCCATGAGATATCCGGTCGCCTCAAATCAACTTACCATTTCCACAATGGCTTCCATTAGCGAATCTCGACCACCTTTGAGCGGATCATCCACGAGCGGGTCGGTGTGCGACTTCCCTTCATAAAGTCGGCATTCACATTTGACCCCTCCAGACTGCTGGCACGCACATGACCAATCTGTCATCGCTGCTTTCCCGAAAGTCTCGTCATAGTGTGCAATATTGCAGCAATTTGAACAGAATTCAGAATCGAGCACGGAAGTTGGGATAAGGATCCTTGCACATTTGAACACAGTACGTTTCATATTGAAAGCTACTGAGGCCTTAGCGACATCTGCATTTGAGGCATACGTGTACAGCTGAATATGTAGTCTTTCTCGCTGGCATGAGAAATGGCGTTGGGTGGTCACATATTTCTGAACGACTGCTGCAGTAACTGAATCAATTCCCATCCAACAGGCAACACCGACGGCAGTGATAGCACAAGCGAATCCACTTGATCATTGTGAGGACGAGAAAGATACATAAGTAATTGCGTCGAGGATGAGGTCCTTATGGTGACTTGAATACGGTGTTTAATATGGTGACATGGGGAACGATGGTGAGGGACATGGGTTGGACACGCTTGCAGCGAACACTGCATGAGTGAAACTATCATTCTGTAGCACATCTGGTCGTGGCTTGCTCCCTGTGCCTGGGAGCGACTGTGTGTAAGTGCGGGCGGAAAGCGCAAGCAACATTATAATCACTCTTGCACTCGGTCGCTCCCAGGCATGGGAAGCAAGCCGTAACCAGATGGAGTGCACGATGTGTATACCAGTCAAATATCATCCACTGCAAGCATGTTCATTCCTCGTCTCTATTGTTCCCATCTACATTTCAGTGTACTTGACAACGTGTCCACAACATCTAATTCTTCACCAGAAAAACGCCATGTACCACACAATCACTTATTCGCTTCTTTTTTACACATCACAGTCATGATGTAAATCGCACAACCGATCCATCAGTTTTGCGCTATCTGCACAAACATACGTTGCAGCCTAAGTTTCTTGACGTTCAAGCATAGCAACAAGAAATGAAGAGGACAACAAATCGTCGCGACCCATGCCAAATGCAAACACATATCAATCTCTGCTCGGCTTACGTTGAGCGCCTCGGAGAATGAACAAGATGAAAAGTATGGAACGGACTTGTCATTCTTCCCGTGCAACAGCAGTATCTCTGGTAGCATGCCACTGCAAGTACAAATCAGCGATATCAATCAACGATACAAAGATGTTCAGCCGTGATGCAGCTACCAAGTCGATTAATACATCAAGGCATCCAGCTGGAACAAAGTTGCCCTGAAGTCTTCAACCAAAGTTCTTCATTCATCTGGAGCCACATATCTTCCACGCTGGCACCCACCAGCATCAATAAAGACAATGCATGGATTCGCTTCTTCACTGGGAAACAGCCCTTGAGGACTGCATTTAGTTCCACCCAAGCTTATACAACTTGCAGTACACACTGTTGAGGATGGGTTAGACAACTAACGCTTAGGTACCTATCACACAATATGCACATGGCACACTGATTTCTGACACTGCACTTGTACATGTTCCCTGCCAGAGGTGCTGCAACAGGTCACATTCCCACACACTCCACATGGTCACAACCAGCAGTATACATATACTGTGTTTCACCATAACATCAGCCATCAGGTTGACACATTAGATAAAGAGGACCCAACACACTTGCAATCACACATTAGCCTTTTTCTATTTGCATTCTGCTGCAAAATTCTTTTTTAAACTCACCACATTTTCAACCCCAATTTCCTTGCACAGTATGTTGGTGACAGCTCCACCAAGGCAGGCTTTCCATCCAAGCTCATTATGCTTTCAAATAGACTGCACACATTCCACTCGCAAGTTCAGAGGCTGTCCAGACTTGTGCAAGGCTGCCATGACTTCTGTCTATTATACGCTTAACCAAGTGTGAGAACTCATTCTTGAGCACAATGCCAACAGTAGTTTGAAAGCTTTGGTTGGTGACATGTGCTGAAACTATCTGTGTCCAATGGCTTTGCAAAAGCATCGCTTATTTGCTGTGAGTGCCTACAAACCAGCAGCAAAAGTGCTGGCCACAAACATTTTCTCAATTGCAGAGCAGGATACATTCAATAAGACTTCTGCAGCTATTTTAAGCAGGACACAAGACTTTGACGTGTTCGGAGGACAGAAAGTGGTGGCACTTCCACATGCCACAACAGGTGGACAACCAATCAATCATGCTGGCCATAATATTGTCATAGCTACGAATTGATGCTGTCTATTGACACCGATCACATCAATTCTATTGACGATCGGCACAGCCTGGCAAACATGGCACCTCAGCAGGCTGCATCCTTTCCTTGACCAACTTCCAATAGGGCTTACCTTCTGTAGAGGCCCCTCCTGTGAAGGTGCTCCTTCAAAACGTCAAGACTATAGGCTCCAGAAACACCAATGAAACCTCTAGCTCTCGTTGGATCCCACGTTTGGCCCCTCAACAGGGAACAATGTCCTGTTGCCTTGTGCTCTGCCTCCAGAGAACAATAAAAACATGGGTTAGCCACCTCTTCACATATCAAACAAACAGTTGCAACAAGCACAATTCTCTTGAGCAAATCCTATATTCTAAAGATCCGTTGCCGTGCTTGTGCATCATGATATGATGTTTATTGTTCTGGAATCCTGCAAACAAAATGGTAGGTGTATCTGAGTGCATGCTCATATCGTACACTCCCCTTGGATTTATTTTATGCTATGCAGGTGAAAACCACTCAGGGGTGCCGGTTTCAGCACTTGATGCATACTTCACTGAAAATCACTGACAATACTGTTGGCTGTCAGAGCAGCAACGAATACATGCATTCTGCATCCATCAGAGACAATGTACAGACTAGCTGACAACTGAATCCAAAGAAAAACCAACAAACATCTGCAGGAATTCAATGTGCCCAGCAGTGCCTTCAAGCTGTGAATTCTTGTTTAGCTGTGTGCAGTTCGTGCTGAAAGCAGGTGTGAGCATCATTGTACATGCCACTCAACATGGATATGACACCCGCACCATCTGGCACTCAGCAGCACTGATTGCTTCAGCTATTGCTGCTGTGTCGCCGCAAGGCAATCCATTCAAGTACACAAACCAACATATCATAAAAGCTGTCGTTGCACCTGCTGAGCCTGATGCAAACCAACCAGAAGCAGAAGGCAGCTCCTGCACCATGAAATCGAGCACAGTCGACTACCACCCAATGTCTGCAACTGAAAGCTCACCTGTGCAAGCAGGGCAAGAGCAAGCAGGTGTCCACCAGCGGACTGGCCACACAAGTATACATTCTCAGGGTCCCCTCCATGTCTGTCGATGTGCCTCAGCACCCAGTCAACACCCGTGCAGACATCCTCCATCATATCAACAGCATTGCCCTGACAATATTCCCAGCAGAACTGTCAGTGACAAAGCCCTGATCACAGCTGCTGAGCACTGCACAAACTGGAAGGAATTTCGGCAACATTCACAGGCAACAGATGCTGGGGTAGCGGATGCCGAATGATGATTGTGCTGTTTCACGTTAGAGACAACACAGCGATGGAAAAAGCATTTGCGTGGGCTTCAGAAGAATGTACTGGAAGGTTGAGGCAGAGAGCAAATACTGAAACGATAGCATCAACGAGATTCGGAACACAGTGGTGAGGAAAGTTCCACAGGCTGTCATTAGGCAGCATCTCGATATTTCATTGTCCACCGCTGCATGCATTGCCCACCTTTGCAGGAGGGAATGGACAGCAGGCTGTGAAGCACTGTCCATTAGATAGGTTGGGAGGGTTCGGAGACAACTCACCTGGGGGAAATTCCTGTAGTCCAAACAAGCCACAAGGATTCCATGCTCACTGAGTCTCTTCCCAAGCAGGGCACCCCAGGCCTTGTATCCAATGGTCCAAGCCCCACCTGTCCAAAACAAGGTCACCACTTGGTTTCTGGTTAATCACCCGCACAGAAACTGTGTAACTACAGCCCACCTATCCTCTCTTCCAATACAAGCACCATGACACAATGCAAGACACGATACCATCGCCAGCTGCCCTGTGGGAAATGCAATGCTACTGTCCAACAGGTGCTCCTATGTTAGCGTGAAGTGGTTAAGATGCCCAACGCAAAGTGCTCAGTGCATACCCACGATCCCGTCCACCTACGAGGGCAGGAGGATGCAGCAGCCTCACTGTTTACAGTTGTCCAGTGCCACCATCGAAACTACAATTCTGCTCGTATTGTACCTCTGCTGTGAATTTTGTGCTGCCTATTATCTCTGTGGCAACAGCCGCAGACGATCGAGGCCCAGTCAGGCACAACAAGGAAGGGTATTGTAACCGTCTATCTGCCTCTCTGCAACATTGACATCAAGGCCTTTGTCTGCACATGCATGCACACCTGTGACAAAGACAACGACAGGCCAAGGCCGCCCATGCTCTCTTGAAGAAGGCTTGTACAAGTCGAGCCTGTTGCGTGGCTGTTCAGCAGCCAACATTGAATGCGCGGTCGATTTAGAATTGTACATATGCCCATTCACAAACTGAAACTTGCTCAAACACATGACTCATGGAAGAAGTCAAGAAGCAATGCTGCTCGTCTCCCAAACCCAATATCAACATAACATGGCAGCACACCACAACTGACAAGACATGGGAGATGTACAGGGATAGACTAGAAGCATGAACAGCACACGTTCACCACAGCGCTTTGTGATCCTGGTATTCACTGCTAAGGTTCGCAAGTTGAGCAGATGGGTCCCATTCGAATTCTGAAGGTCTGAAAGCCAGCAGAAAGCTTAAGGCTCAGTGCGCATACAATGGTAATGGTTCCTAAATGCAAGGACAGTGGAAGCTGCCTGTGTGGCTGTCTGGAACATGCCAGGCACACATTCTCATCAGGCAAGTGCCTGCTTACCTCCCTGCCATAGATGATGCTTCTGGTCACAGAGCGTGAAAAGAAGTAGTAGAACACCACCTGTGGTCCACAAGTATGGAGGAATGCAAGTCAGCTGTGACAATATCTCTGGCTGGGAGCATTTCAAGTTAACGTTGGAGAAGATCTGTGGATCGGCTTGCAACAAATGTACAAAACACAATATTCACTGCGCATCACACACAGGGACACCATTGCAAAAAGCATTGGAGTGCACTATTGTGCAAGTCCGGTGAGACTCTGTCAGCATCAACATTTTGCCAACTCACTTTGATGGTGTAGTTGTCAGAAAAGTACAGCGAACATTAGTTGCATTGCCAAACTCCAGCCATCTGTCGACTTGGTGTTCTGGGCACACCTGAATCATACCGGGCATGAGAAATGTGGCATACAGGATAAGCTGCCAGGCAGCCACATTCCATCTCCAGCCTACACCAATGCACAAATACAGAATTAGGGTGCAAGAAAGGAGCCCAGGTGTCAGTACAGCAATAACTATATCCTCACCAGCAGCATGGTTGAAAACATTGTTCATACGTGCGGTTGCTTGTTGGTGGATTCATCCCCAACTACTTTCTCCAAGCTAATTGTCATTGCCAAATACAGCAACTAAACGATGGGCAGGCCCACTACCAAGACTGAGAGGTTATGTAGACATTTTGGAAGACCTGTGCTGGTCATGGACACTCATCACTGTGGGGATATCCAAAACGGCACAATGCCTGAAAAGGATGATGACTCAGTTAGCATTTGACTTGTGCTGCACGGTGCAAACCAAGAGTGGAATTTCTGCCAAGTTTAGTTCATTTCGGAGTGCTGGCCGTCGGCTTCCATTTGGAATCGATGCAGCACTGAAAGGGTTGCGGTGTACGAGTGGATTGGGGCTTGTATCAACAAAAACGATGGGATGGGCTATCGCGACCAAGGTGGCAGCAAAACACGTCGATGTGAAATACCATGAACGGCTTAAGCTGTTGAGTTCTCCTAAAAACCAGCCACATAAGATATATGGCGCGGAGCCGCTGCGGACAACTACTCGCGGAAGCTCTTGCAAGTTTGGCCTGTTTGCCTGGAAACACGCCGAACTCCAATGGGCCTGAATGTCCCGATCTACACGGCTTCCCACGACCCACACGCACTTGTCCGATTTCAGTTCTCCCACACCCGAAAACGGTCCAGATGTGAGCGCGAACGCACACCACATTTGCGGCGTGAGCGTGCGCGTGGGACGAAGGCACAACACCCTGTTTTTGCTGCCACCCCGGTTCAATCTCATGCACAGCGACGCCGGCAGCAACCCGCACAACCATGGGCGCCAGCCCCCACTCACCCAGGCCCAGGTGCGACCAGAGCTTGACGGACAGGCGGGCGACCAGGGCCACCTCCTTGGCCACGCGGTCGGCGCGCTCGCGCGGGCTCAAGGTCTTCTGCTCGAGGTCGCCCAGCGAGTCGTGCCGCTGAATGCCGGTCGTCAGCCGCCCAGCGCCTTCGGCTCTCGGGCGCGAAGTCGCCCTGCGGACCTCCGTGATGGTGCGGGAGGCCATGGTCAACGCCCTGCGACGCGCGGGGCCCACCGCGACAACTGGCCCGAGGGTTGAACAGTGCGGGTCGAACTGTCGAACTGCGTGTGGTAAATGGCAGCAATTTGGGTCCTCAGGGAACTTTGGATTTCAGGGCACATCAACCGCATTTCTACTTAGTAGAGGTTCCACGTTATGCTGAGCCGTTGACTTTGAGTGGCTCAGAGTCGACCTTCGACGATCAGTGGCGATCAGAGCCGATGTTGGACGGCTGGACGGAATATAAATGTTGTATCTTTGGACGTGGCTCTTTGTAATAATCTTGCTCCGGACCTATGTCTCACGGACACTCGAGCATGTCGATTCCAGCGACCTCTGCTTGATGTGGACCCTCTCGAACACTCTACGCGCCCGCCTTGTCACAGGATCACGGCGTTGCAAGCCGCTCTCTTTGCTGACGTGCGTATAGCGCTGACCTTGCAGATCAACGGAACGCCGCAAAAAAACTGAGACCGGGGGTTGTTGCCGAAGTGCAGGTCGTACAGAGGATGTCTGACCGTCTGACGGGGGATCGTAGTGGGTATCACTGGGTGGGATGTCCCATGGCTCTACCAAACCACCTGGACCAGGGCCAGGAAAAGGATAGTCCAACCCCTTAAGCACCCTTCCACCCAACAGTTGTGTGCGGGTGGATTCAATGCACGCGGAACCTCAAGGGTCGTTCCAGGGCGCTGGCGTGCATCCATGAATAGGCTAGGAGAGGGATGTGGAAAAAAATACCAGTCCAGGAAAGTTGGGCCTTCGGCCCAACGTTCTGAACTTTGTCGTCCCCACTTTGTCGAACAGAACCTCCAACAATCGTTTCCTTTCGCTTCAATGGTCAGGGGAGGGAACTTTGGAAGGACAGCATTGAATTCCCAAAGAATGTGAATAGGAGTGGGGATGTACGGCACTGCACCATGAACTACCAGCATGGCGCCCTCTCAATAGCGCCTGGGCCCCAATAATGCCCTGGTTTTGGTCATATCGCGGGGGCTGCCACGCATTTATGCCTACCGTACAACAGGTGGGAAAGTGCATGGACAAGCACGAAACATACACCATAGAGGTCCATAGGATGCGGGTGTTAGCAAGAGGCGTCCCTGTTTACAAAATCAAACCAAAGGAGGCAGGGAAATGGCAGCCGATCGTGCTGACAACAGATGGCCAAATTGACTTGCTGCTGGCGTGTTGAGCTGCATGGATGCGAATCGTAGGATCTGCAATTGACGCCCATGTGCAGTGTATATGGGACTGCGATGAGCTGGTTGAACGGCATGGACTGCCCACTTAGCCCTGTTTGCAACTGAGCAACGCTTTGTGCATTTCATGTCTCGTATTTTACACATTGATGCCTGGGAGGTACCGAGAATTGTCCTGGTACTGTGCAAGCTGATTTTCAAAGCCTGGCCAAGTTCACAGGTAAATTCAGCCCGTGCTGTTCAGGTCGGTTAAGACTGCCATTGTGCTGCCATCAACTCCCCCACAGGCGACCCATACATGGCTATACATGCCCAGCAGCACTGATAGGACCCCAAAACCCTTCATTGAGCACAACACTATGAAGAAACTACTTTGTCAACACAGTGGCCAAGGCAGCCAGCAACCCGCCCAAGTGTCTGATTCTATCTGCCTGGTCCCACAAACGTGCCTGCTATGTTTGATTCTGCTGCAACAAACATATGAAGCACACACAATGCCTCCCTCCATCATCGCAAGCATACAACCAGTGCTGCTTTTGTTCCAGCATGTGCAACAGCTGTCAGCAGGGTTGCTACATGGCACGTTGCAACGATGTGCATCCATGCATGCCCGAGCTCCCGGCAACAGGCCATGACTCACATAATTTCACCAATTCAAACTCGCCGGATGGGAAATGGACAAGGCCATTAGTCTCGTCAGGGCTTATGGATGCACAGACACTGTGCATGATAACAACCCATCAGCATGGTCGCAGAGCTCATCAGATACCAGAAAGGTACGCAATATCCCCATTGCCCCAAATACAGGCTCTGGGCATATGAATGCCACTGCAACTGTTGGTGCAAAAATGCCACTGCCCAGATGTACAATCGTGGTGTTCAAGAAGTAACAGCACTGTCCCACAAGCTGGTCACCAAGTCGAGAGCCAGTGGATGAGGTCCTTCGTTTCCAGTAAGAACTGGAAAGCACTCAGCGGAGCTGCCTTGACTTGCAACGATTGTGGCGATGCCCGAAAGCTGGACTCCTTGATAGGTCGAAGCAATCTTCCAACTCTACCCCTTGGCATCCATTCCTCACCGTTGGATGTGCCCATAGAGCTATGAAGCCACATAATGGGTGTGGTGCTTGTATACATGCTGCAAGCCCCTGAGAGCATGACATGCCCCATCAGGAACCTGATGTGCACTGCTGGCTCCCAAAATCTTTCCACAACCAGAGTGTTTGAGGTCAGACCTCACCTTGTGGCACTTGTTGGCCCATAATGGTCACCACATGGAACTACCTCTTGAAGTCGACCACTGGTACATCGAGGTATTGGTGCGTTGCAATCCGGTGATGCAGGCGTGGGTATGGTATCTTGTAGTGGACGCCCATTTGCAGCCGACTTTCCCCATCGAACAACTGCACATGTCCAGTCCACATAGCAAGCTGATGATTGCAAGTGATGGCTTTGCCAGGGAAGAGCACAGATAACAATCGACTCATCATCAGCATCTGGCAGCATTGTGAGCACAAGTGTCACAGTGGCCAGTGCCATGGCATTATGTGCATTTGCCGTATTTAGTGGTTGGTTCTCTGAGTGGTTGGGGAGAGGGGGAAAAATACTGAAGGACGAAGTAAAGCTTGTGCAACTAGAACGAAGGGGCACATACTAGCCAACTTTGCCTTGCACATGCATGGGCAACATTTGGTCAATACTTGACCACATGATTATGAACCCACAAATGCTGTTGAGCTGTAAACAGCCTTCCACCAGCTTCAACAAGTGCTCTAAATTGGGTGGCGTTACAAGTTCATTTATCCAGTTTTGATTCCTTGTCACCTTTTTGTCAATGTCTCCAGGGTCCAGCATGTCCCTGTATTTTCTAAACTCCACCTGGGCTTCCCTCCAGATGTAGTCTTTTTCCTGCAAGTTGGGGGCGAAAGCAGGATATCACCAAAAAGCTGTCATTGACCCTGTACAACTGCTGCTGCCAAACTTTGCACTGAATGGGAGTGAGCAGAGCACAGGCAGGAGATCTCTCAAGCTCACAACAGCCCTTCACAGCTGCTGCTAAACTTTGCATAGAATGGTAGAGAGCAGAGCACAGGCAGGAGATCTCTCAAGCTCACAACAGCCCTTCACAGCTCCTGCTACCATTCTTTTCTATGGTTTAAGCAGCGCAACAACTTGCATGTCCCTGTCATATGCTTTCTCATACTAGCTGTCCCTCCTGCTGCATAAATTTCCCCAGGTATGGAATCTTGATTCAGGGACTAATCTGATAACAGACTGTGTCAAACCAACAGGTACACTGAACTCCACAGCACACTTAGCTTGCACTTTATGCTGTGTGGGAAGAGCTAGCGACATTACTGATCTCCTCCAGGGTGGGAAGCGGGCTGAGTGCGAGAAACCAGTGTATGATCTGTTGCATATCAGCACAGATCGAGAGTATGGTGTGGCCCCTTGCAGGTTTGGGAGTAAATTTCGAATGGAAGCTGTGCATGGGTTGTGCTGCCATATTCTGGCTAGTCTGTTGCAACAGAATGTCTCTATTTGCAGATACACAGGCCTGCAGGTAACGCAACAGGGTTGATGGTAAAATCTTCACATAAATGTGCGGCTGCGCCAATTGACCGATCCAGTTCCACACAAGCACAACAAAACAGGGCACTGGATGGGCTTCTTTTATACACACTGAGCCTTGAGAATGAACATTCGCAGGGATCGCTGCAGTTATTGGAAAGTTGATGGTGTCCAGATGCACACCTGTGCGCATAACGGAACTTGCCATGGCGCCACAACCGCATCCAGCAACAATTCAATCAAAAAGCCAGAGAGCAATTTCCGCAGCACTGCCTAACACTTTGAAGTCAGTCTGCACAGTTCTGACCTGTTTGGGAAGGTAAGAATAACAAGCTGTAGGACATCCTCTGTGTCTGTGCGCACCGCCCGACATCGCCGGGTGGGCGCAAGGCCAGCGCTCTGCCATTGTTTTCGACAAACGCAATCACACGCAACTGCTGAACAATAACATCAACCCAAACAGGCCGGCGGTCGACCCCATCGATCACGCCACTCGCTCGTCACTGCTCCCCTTCATCTGCCCCGCCCAACGCTTTTTCGGCGCGGATTCGGCATGCGTCCACGTCCCCCTACGTGTTGAGGACCTTCCCAGTTCCGGCTGGCTCTCAGGATCCTCCTGTACAGGGACAGGGCGCGTGCGGCCCTCACGGACGACATTGCGCCCGCACCGGCTCGGCCGCAACCGCCTTTCGCAGTCTGGTCCCAATGCTGACGGCCGATCAGGCCCCAAGCGTACGTCGACGGGGCGAGTGTCGCTCGGAGTCGATTTGTGGCGACACCCGGGGCATTTACACCGGTCCACGTACACCAACACCGTACCATCGCAAACAAAGCGCACGGTCAAATCGCCGCTGCCGGTGTTAATGGGGCGCTTTGCGGCTGTCAAATCAGCGTGTCCTGAAGTGTAAGGGGTCGGGTGGTGTCGTGGTTTGCAGGTCCCACTTGGCAGGCCCTCCGTATTTTGGTTGGCAGCGCTGCCTTGGCCAATGGCGGATCGAAGAGGGCCCCTGGTGGTGGTGGGCTCCGTGAACGCCGACCTCGTGCTGCAGGTCGACCGCGTCCCGGCGCCCGGGGAGACGATCGGCGCTGAGTCTCTGGACACTTTCCCAGGGGGCAAGGTAATGCAGACTGAAGTCCAACAGAAAGCAGAACAAATCACAGCGTTGGAACACGCCTCGCTGGCAGCAAATCTTGCGAGGTACTTGCCGTGCTGCAGAAGATCAGGCAAGGCTTGAGCACTGCAGCAGGCTGACGCTATCCAGAGGGGATCGTGGCGGTGGGCTGTTTTTTGCATTGCACATGCACCGCTGTCTTCCGATCTGGTGGACGCGGAATCTGTCGACTAACGCGGAGGGGTGTGATCCTGCCCGTTAGGTTTCTGATGCACTGTTTTCTTTGCTTTGTTTTCCATCACATTCAGAGACTGGCTGCAGGACCCGTCCTGATGGGTTGTGTTTGTGGTTGTGTTGGTGGAGGGGCTTGAGTGACGAGAGAAGGGCATCAATTCGTGCCCCTTGTTCCTCCCTTTTCGCTGAGGCCAGTGTCAGCTGCCCTGATTTCGATCGTCTCTTCAGGGTGCAAATCAGGCTGCTGCGGCGGCAAAGCTTGGGTACCCAACGTACCTTGTTGGGCAGGTACTGACCCCACGCTAAAACAAAACACAATTTCTCTAGTTCGCTGACTTGATGCCGTTGCAAATGCCCATACATGATATGGTTGTGGATGGCAGCATGGGAAAAACAAGATTGGGGCTGCATTCTTCAAAGCTGACAAAACATGAGTCCAGGTGGTTCTTCAGCATGCGATCCAGCTGCAGAAAATCTGCAACCAGCACGGGTTCAGCAATTATTGAGACAGGGTTCCACTCCCAGTTGGCCATGGTTCCTCTTAAGTGCTATCTAGCTCATGCGGATCTGGTGATGCGATCTTTGGATCGTCACATCGAGAACCAACGTACCACACCATCCCCATACTGGTCAAGTGTTAGTCCCATTTGTTTCACTGCAAAACATCTTTGCCATTGTATTGTGCATTTGAGCCCTAAGTCTACATGTGTGCATCCAATCATTGTGCTTGGAGCAAATGGTATTCCGGAAATGGGAATCGAGCCATGCACTGAGTGTCTCCTGCAAGAAAAGCGAGAGTCTGCTTCCTATTTAAAGAGCATGAGGTCTTACATTGAAGGGAACACTCACACCGTTATGGACAAAGCTCATCAAGAAAAATGGGTGTCCTAAGGGAGCCCATTATGACATATGTGGTTGCCAAAAGAACAGATGCATCATAGTCACCAAGGGCCTGTTGCTGAGTTTGGCAGTGTACTGCACTAGCGGCAGCCAGGGAATTGAGCACTGACAGCGTGAAGGAATCAATGCAGCACAAGACATATGGGATCCATGGTGATGACACCATCTTTGAATTGGCAACAGTTGTGGAAACCACCTTTCCCCAGTCAGCCCCAGCTGATGTGTAAACATGACGTATTGTTGTCCATCACTTGCTTTGAATGCCCACTGACATTTTTCGAAGCAGCAGGGAATCGCCTTCTAAGTCTTTTCTTGATGCGTGGGTCCAGGTCGGCAGTGATGCAAATGCAGAATTCCTGAAGGCATCTCTGCTGAGTTGTGGGGTGAATTTGAGCTTCTTGAAGAAGGTTAAAGGGCCATCAGGCACCGCTGTTGTGATGCTTCAGCCATCTGGTGAGACAAGCAAACAGCACCTCAGGAAGGGCCTTGGCATGCTTAGCCTTGTTTGACTCTCTGCTGACTGTCTCAACGAATTTGCTTGCTTTCAGAATGCTGTACTTGGTGCATTGTGTGACTGCTTCTGCTTATCACACAGCAGTCAACAAAGGCAGGCGGACCTGTGTTCTTGTATCCCCAAAGTTCTGGTATGCACATTCTGTGTAGAGTTTACATTCCAAATCAGGATTCTTTCTTTGCCTCTGCATACTCAGCAAGTTGCATTTGCGCGCAATGCGATGATGGGTCTCGATTGTGTCACGAATGTGACAAATGCAGCTGCTGCCTTTTAGGGGAGAATAGCATAGTCATTGTGGGCGGAGCAAATCAGCACACATGGTCCTTGGGCGCAGATGTGCAGCAGGTAAGTCGTTTCGGAAGTGCATGCCGTAGTAGACATTCCTTAATCTCGCTTTGTCTGTCATTTTGAAACGAGCAGCGTGCACAGTGTGCAGTGCACAGATCCAGCTTGTTTTGGATTGGTTCTGTTACACGAAATGGCATTGACTGGTTTCATTAAGATATGGCTTGTCACTGTTGATTAATTGACTTTGCAGTGTTGATGTGCTGAATGTGAATCTGAAACGCCATTGCAGGACAAGTGCCAGCTACATGAAATGAACTGTGGATGTGCATAGCTCCAAGTTGCCGAAATGGTGTGCTGGCCAATGAATGAAGTGAGCTTGAAAGGGAATGGTGGTCTTAGTGGCTTGTCATGGCTGATTGGTTGCCTTGCTGTTTTGTGTCTCAGTCGATCATGTCAGCAGGTGCTGTACTTCTACAAAGGGAGATCCCTGACAATGTCAATGAAGCAGTTGCAAAGGTGAAACAAATTTCCGTTGGGGTTTGGTGATGTAGGTTCCTCCATTTAGAATTCAAGTTGATGCTGTTGCTAGCCTGTTTTTCTGAAGAAAGAGTCAAAAAGACCTTTCGTGTGTCCAGTCTGCAACCCCACACATATACACATATTTGAGTGGATGGGATTAATATTGTGGTCAAACTGTATTCGTTGCTGCTTTGTGTCATGCTTTTGAGGTGTTTCCCTTACAAGTACTGTGTCGTTTGTTGGACATCGGCTGTTTGCTTTCCCTGGATCCTCAAAAAACTTGCTGCGGGAAGTGTAATATTGTTGGCTGAATAATGATGACACATATCAGCACATATTGTGGAGAAATTTCGAACCGCTGGTTTTATTGTGCTGCCGGGCAGGCTGATGTGCATTAAAAACATGTATTGGAACAGCAGAGTTCCCCAGAACAATGTGAATGGATAGGTGGCTGCCCCAAACAAGTCAGACACCCTTGAGCACAGAACGGAATAGCACTCAATGTGGGCAACTTGATGGATGGCAACATTGTGCTGGACTTTCGAAAGTTTGGTTGAACACCCATGCGCAAAAGCACTGTTTAGCTGCTGGTCTGTTGCAGACTTGCTGTTGCTGTTGCATGTTGCGGGCTGTTGACAGCATCGTCTTGATGTGCATGACTGTGACAGCAAGCACTGCTTGTTTGATGTGGAAAGCATCACTTGTTTGCTGTGCCAGGTTGCACAGTCGGCCGGTGTGCCTGTGATCCTTGATGCTGGTGGTGTGGATGCACCACTGACAGCATCTTTTCTCCCTCTCATCTCCATCCTGTCCCCAAATGAGACAGAGCTGGCCAGATTGACAGGCATGCCCACGGATACCATGGACCACGTGGAAGCAGCTGCCAGGCAGCTGCTGCAACACGGACCTGAGAGAGTGCTGGTCAAGCTTGGATCGCAGGGGGCCCTGCTGGTTACAGGTGCACTTATGCGTTTGGGGGTAGCCATTGCGAGATGCACGCGATTCCGTCTTTTCGTCTGCATGGTTTTGTTGCTGTGTGGTATGTATATTAGTTGCTCTTACTGGAAATGGAAGCCTTCTGCTACCCTCTCTCATAGGCATTTCCTCCTGAATGGCCACATGGGCTACTTAAGTGTGGTATTGGCTGCATCTAATGTGAAAGCTGAGAAAAATATTATAGCTGATGGCCAATAGCTGACAGCTGATAGCTCCCAACTGGACAGCCAGTGTGGCCTCTGAGTAATTTCAGCATCATGTTCTGTGAACAGCTCTTTTGCACTATCTGCCCTGGCTGCCCTGCTTTCCGCAATTTTGCACCTGTGAGCATGCTGTGCCCAAATGGCCTTTGTGAAACCATAGAATCACCGCTTGACACTGCCTATGCCAATCATTTCTAATGCCGCTGAACCCAACCTGGAACAATCAACTGATGCTAAAACCTCAAGGGGAACCATAGGCTTGTTGGGAGTATCTGGTATCCATGAATGGGCGTTAGAGCACCACATGGTGATAATCTTGACACCCATAACTTTCAGCATGGTAGCAAAACTAACAAAATGAACTGGATTTGGGCCTTGGACCCAGAAATTTGAGCAAAGGGCAGACACAGCGTGATTCCTTGTTCCTGATAGGATGAGCACCTGCATGCCGTTGAGCTTCACACCTTTTTCTGTGTGGTGTCTGTTTGCCAGGAGATGCCACCACTCGTGTTGGAGCTCTTCCTGTTGCCAAAGTGGTGGACACCACAGGTCAGTCCCACTGACTGATGCACAAGTTGGCCCCTGCATTGGTGTCCTTTGGGTTGCATTGCTGCAGTTCAGCTCCTCTGGCCTTGCAACGCATCTTTTTCTCTTCTGTCCAGTGTCTGTTGTCTCGTTGATGGTGGAAGAGCACAGTGTATTGTCGTATCACATTATGCCCTGTTTGAAGAGTTTATGTCCTTGTGTGGTGCAGCAACTGTTCCAGATATCAACTGTGTGGGTGCTCTTGTTGCTGCTCAGCCTGCATGGAGCTTAGAACCTTGGAAACATGTGCTGAGAATCGCTATTGAGCATCATATTATTTGTCTCTTGATATTTCTACACCAGCTTGTATTGGCATTGTTGTGTGCCAAGTTCAGTGTTCATGAGGTGGCGCCTATTACCTGAATTGGTGAAGACAACAAGGCAGTTGTGAATGTATCTGTGCAATCAGGCCCGAGCATTATTGCTATGACGTTCCGTGACAACACAGATGTTGTTGAACTCACTGTGGTTATCACCGTGGTACATTTTGTCACATTTCCAGCATCTGAATTCCTCAGGCGTCCTTGCAAAGCATCAGTGTTGTGGCAGCTGGGCAAATGAGTAATGTGTCCTGCTTGCTTATTGGTGTCTAAATGCTGTAAATCTAGGTGACCTGTGCTGTATCAAGCAGCTGTGAAATTGAGGACTCGATTGTGTGCTTTGTTGCAAGGGGCTGGGGACTGTTTCACTGCTGCATTTGTTGTTGCTCTGCTAGAGGGAAGCGACCCCAAGGAGGCCATGGAGTTTGCAAGTGAGACACTGAACATATGGTGCACGTAAAGCCTGCTGCTTTACACTTGTGTACTGAATTCAGCTTTTTTGCCTGTATTTATATCTACCCTTCAGCACTGACACCCCATCATTCTTGACGATTGGTATTGGGACAATCATGATGTATTAACTGCAACTGTTGAGAGCAATAACTTGCTGCAGCTGGCACTGGCCCAGATATGCATATGGCACTGCCAGTGTGAGATGACAGCTATGTGGATGCATTCTAGAAATAGGCTCACGCCCTGGGAAAGATGCATCCAATATTGACGCCCTCCGTAGAGATTCATGGTGTTCTGTCTTTTCCCTTGTGCTGGTCAGCCCTTGCTGCATCCATCTGCATCCAACGGAAGGGCGCCATGTCAAGTTTGCCATTGCGGGAAGAACTCACTGCTGGCTGGGGGTAACTGGGCAACACTGAGAAACAGATTGTGGTTGCTGTTACTGTCGAAGAGATGCCGCAACCAGGTGGGCCATGCCTGGCAATCCATCTCGGTTGAAGCGCAGCAGAACTGTATACAGGTGGAACTGCAGTCAGACATGCAAACCAGATCGCGCCTTGCTCATCTGCATCGGGTGCTGTGATCAGCAGGACGCTGGACCAGGGCTGTTGATGGGAATCGTGTTCTGCGTTTGGTGGGATATCAGGGCAAAGGTGGCTGTGATTCACATCTTTGAACTGTGTAACTGTGTGGTCCCTGAACTCTCATGCTACTGATCGTGCAACTGTTGGGTGGCAACTGGTCAACCACAAGTTGGAGAGCTTCGAATGTGCACCCACTGCCAATCAGGCATGCTCCTCATGGACAACTGTTGCAGACTGCACATTCGCAATCCAGTGTGTTGTCTGATATTGTGCTAAGACACCGTCGAAGGGATGCATTCCCAACCCTATCTATGCCACAAGGGCCTCCACACGAAGCCAAGCGTGAATCCTTTATGTCGACACCCGTATGACTTAACAACATGATCTAATGCGGCAGCGCGGCATCAAGATGTCTTCAAGAAATGCAGGCAGCCAGCATTGCAGGAATCGTGAGGGATTCAAAATTGAGATGCTTGAAACCGTGCTGGGTGAGGAGGACAGTCCTAAAGGCTGCCAAGTGAGACATTTGAGGCCCACATTGGGGATTGAACTGTTGGGGGCCTGTGAACAATCTATAACTTGTCTGGACCTGATCAGCAGTGGTTTTACCTTCTTAGCTTATATTGATTTTGTGGCAATTAGATAACCTCTCAGTGTCACGGGTCACCCCCCTCCCCAAATGGACGCCAAGCATTGAAAAATCGACGCAGTGCAGTCCACTAGGTGGCTGAAATTTTTGACCTGTCTTAAACACAACACTAACGATGCAAGAAGGAAGCCGCACGAATAGGCCCGGGCCACTACACGTCTTTTTTTTGTTGCAACGCCAACCACAATTGGGCAGTTCTTGTCAAGCTTATGCGGGCCAGAATTTGGTTGCCCGCATTTCACAAGAAGACTCTATCTAACCACACTCCTCGAAATGTCACAAACGCCGTCCTTTTGCCGCTGCGGGATGAGGACGGGTACAACTCCATCAATGTTGCTCTTTGTTGGCCAACGTGTACTCGCTTCCCTGCACCCAGGTACAAACCTTTTCTTCCTGGTGGATTGAGTCGGTGCACTACGTCCCTGGCTCGGATCCTCCTGGGAATCTGTCCAGCGCGTGGTCGTCACCCGAGTGGTACGCCATAACGGCCTCCATGCGCGCCTGCTTGTCCGGGTGGTAGTTGATGTGCACCATGACCGGCATCTCGGGCCGCTGGTGGGCCGGCAGGTTGCGCACGAACTTGAACAGCGTCTTGGAGTTCATGAACTCGTGGATGTCCATGACGCGCACGGTCACCTGGGGGCTGGCATAGTCTCCGTGCGACAGGAAAAAGATCTCTTCGTTGAAGGCCGTCTGGTCCCAGTACTTCTCCCTGCCCAGCCGCCCCGCCAGCCTCTCCATGAGGCCAACGGTCCTGCGGTTGGCCTTGACGTAAAACAACCCCGAGTTTAGGTTGAAGTGCGACACGTACTGCGCGTAGCGCGACCAGCCCATGGACGGGTCGTCGAAGCCGTTGATCCTGCCGTAGGCCGTGCCCTCGTCAAACCCGTCCGACATGGCCTCCACGTCGCTGTCGCGCCGCAGGTAGTCGAAGGGGTCCTTGAGGACCGCGACGTCCACGTCGCTCAGCAGCACGCTCCACCCCAGCCGCAGGAACTCCTCCAGAATGCCGTACTTCTGCGCCGACACGGCGTGGTTCTGGCCCGTGCCCACCTGGGCCGACCCGCGCAGGTCCACCTCGCGCAGCACCACGTTCACTCCGCGCCTCCGCAAGATCCCCTCCGCCTCCCCGTCGATTGCCACCACAATGTAGTTCCCCACGCCCGCCTGGCGCACGCCCCGCAGCCACGCGTCCAGCATCCCGCCGTCGCGCGCAAGGTCGACGCTGGAGATCGCCACGAGCACCTCCCTATCCGGCGCCACCCTCAGGAGCATGTTTCTCAGGCGCACACCCGGCGGCACGTCGGCCCCGGATGCCTGATGGCTGGGCGATCTGCGGAAGCCCAGGGCCAGGGCCGGGTGCCTGACCAGCATGAGCAGGTGGCGCGAGCCGGCGAGGGAGACGTAGGCGCGCTGGGCCACGATGGCCCCAAGGAACAGGCCGACCAGGAAGGACAGGAAGCGCTGGCGCGGGTCGCCGGGCCTGGCCCTGTTCCCGGGCTCGCACCACGTCGCGGGCATCCCGGGCGCCGGGGAGTGGGGCCGTTTGCGGGCGCGGATGGCTGGGGACCTGGCCGCGAGAGTTTGTGTCCGCGGGGGAGTTTGTGTCCGGGGTGCCGGGTGGGGGATGCGGTCCAGCGCTGCGGAGGGGCAAGCTGGCGGAGGTCGTCGTTGGGAGTCGTCACGGTCGCGGAGCCATTCGCGTGCGGCAGTGTCGAGAAGGACTGACGGGCGTTAATACGCGGATCGGGAGGATTGCAGGCATTCGGCGCCCCGCAAAGGCAAATGCAGCGCCAGGCGGCGTCGGTGGGTGTCACTGTGGGTGTGGTTCGTGTGAAGCTCGCGGCTGCCTCGTTGCCTCGTTCTGCAAAAGCTGATGATGGTGGTTTCGCACGGGAGCCATGGCAGGTGTCTTCGGCAACCCTCTCTATGCCACGCGGTTTGCTTCGCCAGTGGCATCGCGCAAAGAACAGCAACGTCACTCGGGGAGTTTTCCTCGCAGCGGCGAAAAAGCGCTTGATCGAATGTGTGTGGAAATTTGGAGAACATGTCCGCAGGCCGAAGGCTCAACGCCGGCTGCAGGAATCCGAACTTTTCGGGCTCGCAAATCTCGCAAGCAAATCTTGGGTTGGATTTGAGGCGAAGTGCGGTGTTTCATTCACAAACAGGATACATTCACTGAGCGCAATTTCGTCCACAGAGTGGTGATTTATCTGTTGTCGAGCACCTATATCTCCAGTTTGGGTGCCTATGACTATCCTGTGTGCCTGTCCACAAAGCATGGGATGGTTGAGTGTCAGCGGATACATGGGCAATCAAATTTTAACTCGGCAACGGCAAGTGGGGAAACGAAAAGTGGTCTCCTGAGCCCCAGCAAGATCGCCCATTCCCGACGCAGACAACGCATATCCTAATCACCGGCAATCGACAGCAGTGCTGGCGCCCTCGCGGCGTCTGGCCGAAATGCGGTATCCCCAAGCGAAGCTGTCCAGAACTGCTCCCTCAAGAGGGAACGGCCCGCCCCCCAAACTGAGCGGCTTTGGGCACAGTGGCATTGCACCCGGCGATTCGGTTACCGCATTCATAAGTAGTATCCCTTGCAGCTAGTATCCTGGCAAATGCCAGGGTCAGATATTCTCACATTTCGAAAAGGAAATCAATTCCGCACCCCATCTATGTGAGCCGCGTGGTTGGCGATGCCGATGCTTGACGTGTACCATACAGGCCCCAAATACATAGCTATTTGTAAACGGCTCCATGGCTAAAAGGACACCTCGAGGGACGCTGCGGTCAGTGCCGAAGCGGTGCAACGAAGGCTCCCATGCAAGAGCTTCAGTTTTGGTGTTCCCCACAACACACTCCAGTCTTCCTCGACGTTTCCAATGTCGAACAACATGCCAAAGTGCTGCACCGAATGCTTGCGAATTGTGTGTCACCACAAGCGTTGGAAACAGTGTCTCTTCATCTGGAAGTTGCTTGTCTCACTGCAGTAGTTTGGCATTTGGCGATGAAGCCGTATCCACAATCTTGGCAGGCTCCATCGAAAGGGCTGACGTGTAGGTTTTATACTACAGGGTGCCTGCCGTCAGTTCTCAGCAAATTGTTGCCTGGAGAAACCGCGTGCCCTCGGTTGCAATTTTAACTGAGAAAGAATCCTTGAGCGCTGCACTCTTGCACGGTGCAGTTTTGGATTGCCTGGGAATTTTCCGGCCTTGTCAACACAGCATTACTTCATATATGCCTTTTTGACTAGCGCCGCACTACTCCAAACAATAGTGCTCTTCATTGCTCATAGTGAGCACCTCAATTCAACATTCGATATCCTGTGTTTTCGCTCCCTGCGTAAACCATGGCCTCTGTGGTGGCTGGGCCGGTGGAAGGGCGGGATATGGCGATTGCCCACGACCATAGGGGGCAGGCACTTGTTGTATGAACGCCGTTGGCTTTCCCGGGGGCGCAGGGTGTGATACAGTGCAGGATGCATTGCCGGCAGGCGGGCGACCACCCACCGTTTGGACTGCGTTCAGTGACCCCATGCGCAGCACATGCTTCAATTTTGATTCCTCGCCCATTTCTGCTGGGGAATCCACCCTGTGGTCCAGTTCCGTTGGTTTTGCGGATGCAAATGGCGGCAAGTGAGCTTCGAAAACGGTGTACGTCGTACTGCAGGGCCACATGCCGTACGTGTACTTGTAATGAAATCAAAGTGTGGTCATCAATGAGAAACGATTTGTGATCGATTCCATGCGAAGGTGCAAAGAAGGATTTCCCTCACTGAGACGCACACGCTGAGGCCAGTCGCTCCCCACGTTAGCTCCATGGGCCTGCTCTCCACCCTTCGCCTGTCGAGACGGCCAACGGCCCAGCAGCGTCAAAAGGAAGAGAGGCGATACAATGAGCTCGCAAAGGCGGGGAAACCACCAGGCACCAAGCGGCTGTGTGTCATCCTCAGCGTGGTCCTGTTCGTCGTAATGGGTGCGGACGTGGTGGACGAGTGCAACAAACGGAACGCGATGAAGGAGCCCCGTTGCGCGGCTAGACACTTGCTTTTGCTTCAGAATCGACGCATCGGCACTTGCTCGACTGCTGGATCTACTGTTTTCCGCTGTGGGGTTTGTTGAAATCGGCCCTCAGACCCCGGGAGGTTGATCCTTCAAAAAGGGGCACAACAGAGCTCTTTCGTACTTTTTCCCCCCTCGCATGTGTTTGCCAGTCAACTGAAAGGTGTCGCGGCCTGGCAGGCGTCCCTGTTTGGTGGCGCACGACGAGCGTGTTCCGCCCCACGCTGCCCATCCAACGGATCGAGTCTTGGGCTGAATCGATAGCAGCCCGGCCTCTCAGACTACCTGTTTACCTCGAGATCTGGATTGAGGGTGTAGGTGGGTCCCCATTGCAGAATGACACCACAGTTTGTTGGCCGTTTGCTCACTCAATGAACATCGACTTGGGGAGCCACCTTCATTCGTTTAAGACGTTCACCAAGGGATCATTTTCTGCCTGCCACTGAAATTGGAATGTGCATGTGTTATTTCTCATGGCATGTGGGTACAGCCAAGGCTGTTCTGTTCACCCTTGGCTGACAACCAAAGATTCTTGGGTGATCAAAGGCGCTGGCACCACGAGTCCCGTATTAATGGACTTCCAGTCAGAGAAATCGGCGACTTACACTGCATGGCAATGGATGGGCCAGTATTTCTGATCTCTTGCCGGTCATCCAAACGCAGTCAGCTTTGCCAAACACAATGGAAGTAAATTTGTGACTTGCACAGGCACTGCTGACGCTTTTGACTCAGTCCAAAAGTGTGCGTGGGACATCCACAACAGAACATTGGAGGGTATGGGCTATAAGACGATCACTCAGAAGGTAGGTGCTTGTCCAGTCCAACGCGAAGGACTTTTAGTAAAATGCATCCAATATTGTATCCAAAACATACATTGTTGGCAGGGTGGCAAAATGCAAATAATGGACTTGTTGTCGACTCACACACGTCGATTGTGGTGCAGATCCCCTGAAACGGATTAGCGGTGTAAATTGTGCCATCCTACTTGTGAGCTGTATTCACTTGGTGTTCGAGTTTATGTTGCTAACTTTGTATCAAATCCATTCTTTGTGGTGCTACTTTCGCCTTGATCGCACATGTTCATGAGCACTTCTCTGAAGCTTATTGGGACGCAGCCTGTTCCTTTCCTGTGATCGGAGACTCAAAGACAGTTCTGCTAACTGTACTGAGCAGGTGTTTCCTTTGGGTATTAGAATCGTCCAGTGTGGAACTTTAGACTGCAAGACTGTTGCATCAGCTGGGGATTTCTTGCCGGGGAGGAGTGAAGGCCCCTGTTTCAACATATCCCAGGTGACGCTGTTGTGCCGCTCCCTGGATACCACATCTGCTGTCAGTTGTGCATCACTTATTGTTCCATGCCCCTGCTGCAGATGCAGCTGTCACTTGTGCACAGAGTAATTTGGTTAGAATGTCACCTTTGCTGTCCTGGCTAATCTAATCTCGGGCTGCCTGTCTGCAGCAATGCACTGCACTCCAAATTTGTTACAAAATTGTTGAAGCCGTTAAGCCACAGCGGAACAGGAAAACAGGCAGATCATACTGTGAGGTTTGCCACGAATGATAGCGGTGCTGTGTCACAGGAGCCTATGCCGACACAAAGCAACGGCAACAACAACAGGGTTTTTGAAAAATCGAAACCGGCGGAGTGTCTGATAGAATTATTTTCATGGGCCCCCGCCCACCCTGGGGGGGTATTGAGCTCTTCTGTGCGCATTGTGTGTTGGCATGAACGTCATGCCATCCAGCACTTTCCCAGCATAGGTTTAGTTCTGTGAAGAGACATTCAGCAACACCAAGACATTGAAGACCCTGCAGTAGATGCACGATTAGCCCACTAATGCCACACGCTTTGCATCCAGGGAATGCCCAAAATGCCCAATCTCAGGTGTGATGCGATGGTATTCATGATGGGCATGGCTGTCATGCTCACCAACCACCATTGATGTGCTGGTGCCAGAGCACATGTGACAACAGTTCAGATGATGCCTTGCTCGGCAGCATTGAAAGGGCTGGACGCGCAGTACTGGGCTCTTATGTCCTTATAGTTAGGAATGGGCAGGGGAGCTCCGCCCCCAAAGGTGCGCTCTGTCTGTCAAATATGCCAAAGCTGGTGAACACCCTGAAATATTGTAACAAGGATGAAGTCATTGTCGTTTTGAATGAATGCCTGAATGAGTACCAGTGTTGTGTGCCCTTTGGCAGAGTTTTCTTTTTGTGGGATTGTCGATGTGATGCTTGGTCCTTGTTGACATCATGTCTCAGTTTGTTGCTGTACCCTCAGTTTTGACAATTGTGGTTCTGCAGATCACCCTGTAGACTGGTTGCAGTAGGATTGCAACCTTCAAAGAGCCTTCAGATGCACTTGAACTCATTAGAATTGTAAACTGGGGCTGGCAAATCTCCATAACTGCAGCATGCTGTGTGGGAGGGCTGTGTTAATGATACTGGCTGGCATGGCACCTTCTGGCACAGGATGGCTCCTTGTTTTTGTGCTCATATATTTTTGATTCAGGCAGCGCAATGAGAACTGCAGTTTGGACCTTGCGTCTGTGCAGACAAACGTGCATCCCTTGGTTGGCAATGCGACTGACTTATTGTGCGGCTGCTTATCCCTGAGGATGGGGTGTGCCCAGCCACAGTGGCATGGATGTACCTCAGCTCTTTCTGTGGGCTGTACAGTATGCATGGGAAAATATCGGCATGCTGTTGCACACATGGTCGATCCATGGTCAAGGGGAGCCTTACAAAGCCTTGCCAGCATTGCTGTTGATCTCCTTGTCCATCATTGGGGTCAGGGATCAGGTGAGAATTGTATGTGCTCCGATTCTTTTTCTTTGTGTGTGGCCGCGATGGGAGTTTTGTCTTGGGACAGCACAAGTTGCTGCCTTGCCGACCCAGGCAACTTGAAGGATTCATTGTCGTGACTTCTCTGAAATGTTCGTGCCGTGCTTGTTGTGTCATTTGTGACTTTTTTCAATAATGGCGCAGATAACGAACTTGGAGCATCGTTATCAGTCAGTGCTATACAGGACCGGTTCTCATTGGCCCCCGTGCCACCTTACTGAGGCTACATTTGGCAAATAGCACTGGTGCTATTGGGGAGCAATAGCACCAGGCGTGCATCCGCAATGGTGGATGCCCTCGGGAGCAATAGCACCCCATGTACATCCATAACAGGGGGTGCTGTTTGCAAGGAAACTCCTACACATATTTTCCCAAGCCGTCGCTGCCACGTGCTGTGCGAATAGCGCCGGTGCTATTCTGGGGTGCTATTCAGCGTTGAGCGGTGCTATTGAGGGCCCAAATAGCACCACTTGGCATTCAATAGCAGCGGGGTGCTATTGGGGTGGAATTGTGGTGCTATTGGGGTGCAATTGCTTCCCAACTGTTAATGATGTTTTTTGGACATGCGGTGCTATTCGGATAGCTGAACAGCACCGCCAAGACAACAGCACCCACCAATAAGGATGCTCTTACTGGGGTGCAGCAAGCCTGTGTATTTCACTACCTATTGCAGCGTGTATGAAGTACAGCTTGGACCCTGCAATGGTTTCTATTGTTGCGCTCTGTGTCGATCACAACGACTAATGGCCATCCATTTGGAGCAAAGGATGTATGCCACCCTTCCCTGCTATGCAAGAACCATGGCATGCATCATAGACAATTGGCATGAAACACAGCACCGAGAGTGACGACGAGGAGTTGCTGTGCCTTTTCTGTGTGTACCTCCCCCACTCCCTCCCCTATTCCCCTTTCCAGGTTCTATCCCAGCTTCTGGCCAACATTCATGGTTGTGGAATACAGGCCCCAACGCTGAGAAGCAAGGAGGTCAGCTGCCTGTTTCCCCTGCCTCTCAAGTGCTCATGTCCTTCAGCCTTTGCAATGCAAACCCTAATGATGGCTACTGGACGTGGGATTTCGATCGCTTTGAGGAAACCTGGTTGAGACCTGTGCTGGTGTCAATTGAGGCTGTCATGAACGTCGATGTGGAAAGTCAGGTGAGAATGCAGTGCTGCTTGCATTGATATTTGTGTCAATGATAGTGCTCCACAGAATGTTCGACATGGGTGGAATTATGTTGTGGTTTCTTGCATGTGTTTCCCTAAATTGTGCATTCCGTTGGCAGCGAATGGATGTACCTAACAGCTCAGAGAGTCAAGGGACTCACTCTGGTTGGGAAGTGGGGGTGTATTGCAAGAAATGCACCTTGACCTGGACATCTTGACCTGCCCATAGAAAATGCAAGCATTTATGATGGATAACTGAATCTGTTATTGCTGGTGTGAAATGGTTGGACCAAGTGCTTTCTTTTTCCAGAGCATCACTGGCATTCTTTCTGTTTAGCAACCTTCCGATTGATCTTTGCACCCTTTTACTGAAGTTCAGACACTGAGCCACGGTACTGCTTTGGTTCTTACAATCAGAGTTGTCTACATGCACATGAGATGGTGGCGACTCCACCCATCATTACTGTTATTGTCATGCGATTACTGGGGAACACATGGGAGAAAGAATTTAATAGCAGCACTGAGGAATTGGTTTTAAACTTTCATTTGTGTGGATCATCATTGAGCACTCATCAATTCGTGCAACTGGAGCTATCTGTGTGTCGGTTGCAACTGGATTGAAAACAGCAACATACATAACGATGTTTGGGGCACAATCGCCTTGTGCCACATAGCACAGCAGCCACTGCATCTGACTGTTTGACACTTCCCCTACATCACTGCATACGACCATGCTGGAAAGGGCAAAAACGTGCAGCAAGATTGTTGCAATTCTGCAGGGTTTTCAGACGTGTTTTTGTGTGGTTATCAAATTTGTAATATCAACCCATGTGGTTGGGCTTTGCTCATAGGGTTTCATGGTCGTTTACTGCTTCAGGTCCTTTATCACACTTCAACAGATGTCAAGACTAAGTACGTCCGGGTTCAACATGCACATGTTGTCAAGGCCTCAGCTTTGCCATTCTTTGTGAGCAGTGAATGGCAGCTGGACTCAGGACGAACAGTGACCTCAAGGAATGACAGGAGAGAAATCAACAGGACCCACAGTATGTGATACCACCCTCTTTCGACCATGCTAGCACCCTTTGGTGCAATCACTTCTTGTTCCATGATGTTGACAAGTTTGAAGAAATATTGGTGGGACATATGTTGTCTGAGTACTTGTGCATTAGCAGTTGCAACCAGGAAGAAGCACCCTCACATGCAGATTATCGTGAAACAGCCAACACCTTGGCCTGCATGGTGGTATAGGGTTTGGATTGTGGGGCCTTGCGCTTCAGATGTAGATGTAAAAATTGTTGATCGTTGTGCAGTTTGTTGCGCCAGTACCAAAAGTGAGTACATTTGCATGCCTGATCAGGAACCCAAGCACACACCAGGACTGCTTAAATGGCTGTCTTGCAGTTTGGTGTGTTGCTGCACTGTTGAGAACTGTGTTTTTCATGGCTGTATGCTGATTTGGATGTTGGGAACTCCCTCAACTTGAGACAAGATGATCGTTCATGGCACGCAAAGTTGCCACTGGAATATTGACATTTGTCTGGGCGATATAGTTACATTAGCCACCCTGTTCACGGGTACCCAGCCAGTCCCTGGCATTGTCTGGGTCCTCCTATTGGTGCATGTGGACAAGTACAATCAGTTCTTCAGCACCCTCAACTCTCAGCAGATCACATGGTCTGTAACACCAGTATTGGAGTTTGCTCGTCAATCTCGAACTGGACATCCCTGCTGCAACGCCTTTGTTGCACATTCATGACTTGATGGTTGCTGCTTGAGATGCACAGCAGCGCACCTCTCCAGTGTGTTGAGTCCCGTTGTTCTCCACTGGGTGGTCTTCATACCTCCAAGCAACAGGCGACCAATGAGGATCGTGGATGACACCACTGGTCACGCCTCCAAGACAAATGCATTTAAAATACCCTCTTGGGGCGGAGTTCTCATCATCAATCCCAGCAAGGCAGTCAATGAGAGTGCGGCAGATAGGCAATTGCACCATGACCTAGAGGCAGTTCATTATTGGGAGATTGCTGCAGTGTTTGTTGCCCAGCTACGTGGGTTGCTTGGCTTGCCCGAGACGCCCAAGGCCACTGACAGTGTGCAGTCGCTGCCATCAGAAGTGCGTGGGTTTGCCGATTGGGAGGTCGATGTGCTGTTGAGGCAGAGGGCAGCAGCTGATGTGAAGGCGTGTGCAGACACACTGGTGGCCCTGGCCCGTGTGATGCAGAAGCTGCCCAACTTGGAGATGCCCAATTTCATTGGAGCACAGGTATTTGGTCATTTGCATTTTCTCGATTGGTGTTGCCAAATGTGCTGTAACTCTAGATGGCAACCATGCTCAGTTACAGACACCCAGCTTGGGCCAATTGCATTGCGTTCACATCAGCTTTCCAGTAAATATATGTCAAGACAGATAGGTGCAAAAATAACAAGTCCAGAGCACAGCTGTGTCATGGCAGCAATGAGGCATTGGAGACCTAAGATGTGAAGTTCCATAGGGATGCTCTTGCAGCATTGCAACAATTTTGACATCACCACACAGGATCCTAGTCAAGCCACTGCACCATGAGATCATTGTTGGGATTGCGGCAAGATACATCGGGCTTCAAGCCAATTTTTATGTGTGTTAGAGGGCAGCGCCCGTTGCTTATGTACACACTTTGTTTGTTCCCCTATCCACCTGGCTGTACTTGCTAAGCCAGCCTGGGGAGGCGCCACCTTGGGTTAGCGAATTGGGCATGTCACAAACAATTGGCCAGTGTTCTGGATGCGTGTAGCGCTCTGGCTCAAACGGGCCAGTGCAAAGTGTCTGTATTCCCTTGCAGACCAGCAAGCCACGCTTGTGTCGATCGTTTGATTCAATTGGCAAGCGAATGCCATTATGGGCTGCCGAGGATAATGTACACCCCCTGTACCTCCCAAGGCAGTGGTTGGCAGCGTTTTGCATGCTACACATGGAGAAAGGATTTACAAGCGCCGGGCGTTGCATTGGCAATTCTTGAGGCACTCATGGAATTGTTCCAGCCAATGATACATGGATGTAAGATAGTGGGTCGATCTACGTTGGCTGATGGCATGGCACTGAAATATTGTGACCCCTTGTGATCAACAACAGCTAACACTGAACTGCGTGCTGCAGGTGGTTGAAGCTCTTACAGCAGGAGAGAGCGCTGTCAAGGCGGCAGCAGCAGGCGACTATGCCCTTGCCGTGCTCTCCACTCGTCGGGCTCGCAGACTTGCTGAGGAGGCCTTCACGCATCCCTCCATTCTCACACAGCTGAATTTCCCCGATCAGCACAAGGTCGCCATCTACATCCCATTGTTCTTGCCAGCCTTGGTGGCTGTGGCTGCTGCACTCACATCCGAAGTCACGAGGTTCCTCAAACGGCGGTCGGTGTCAGCGGCCTGGAGGAATGCCCATCGCAGCAGTGCTGGCTGAAGATGCTCGGCATCGAAATCTGGGTGGGCGATGGCAGGCTGTTGCTGTGGTGATTGCAGTATCCTAGGCAGGGCTTAATGGCAGTTTGTAAGAATGCTTGTGGCTGCACGCGAGCTGTGGATCCAGGGTCATGTCCACACTGTGTGGGCCACGAAGTTGGCGAAATGCACCGATTGAAATTCGTGACTGCACTGCAAGAACTCTCAAGTCGAATGACGGACCGCGCTGTTCAGAAACGTGGTGTGTTGCCTGTCGATTCCAGACATGCAAATTCCGTGCTTCGTATGTCACATGGTACAAATGAAATGACACATGATTGTGATCGACCATCCACATGTGGAACTGCCTGTTTGCAACGCAAAATTAATTTTTCCGCGTCATCTCTCGCACGAGCTCTCCAGATCCTTATCGCCGAATCACAGCAGTGGTGTGAATTTTGATGACATCACCCCATCGTCTTTAAATTGATGGGCGTTTCTCGAAATGGCGCAGTCGGGCGTAGACTCCTGCTGCAATAAGTGTCGAACCAGCTCAGCGCAATCGCCACACACATCCATTCAGATCGCCTTGAGATGCCTGCTTGATGGGCTGGCATCCTGACTCTTGTGATGGGTGTCCCCGCGGCCTACGAGTGATTCGCTGTCAGCCGTGGGCCTGGCACTGCCTCCGTGACCCACGGCGGTACACCAACGTTTCCAATTCGGCTGAGGCGAGGCTGGCGGACTCGGCAATACCGAATCTGTCACAAGGATTGTCAGCTTTGTGGGCCCCAAGCTCCGTGCTGTCTGCCACGGAAGGTGTGCACAGATCCAAAATTGCGAATGTTCGGTGCTCAGGTCCATGGCTGCAAATACCGGCTTTCTGGCACTGCGGCTTGTGCGTCCGAGGCCAAATGTTGGACGGTTCGCGTGTCCATCAATGGACACTTGCGTGGCCGTTGTGGCCACGGGAGGTGCAGTTTTTGCGGGCCTCTTTTGGCTGCCGCGCGATCTCTGATTGGAAGCGCTGGTTGTTGCAACCAAGCATTGTTTGGAGTGAGCCAGAAAGCCATTGCTTGCGTTCCGCATTTCTTTGGAAAACCGTTACGGTTTTGGCAATTTTTGTGCATTTCGATGGCCAACGCCACTGTTTTTGGATTCGACATCCTTTGGGGTTTTTACATCATCTGGCACTCTTACCAGGTGGCACAAGGTCCGCATATCTTGTGAAAAGGACGGGGGAGGCACCTGAACACTGAAATGTGATGTGAAAATTTTATGAAATGTATGAAATGTGGTGCGAAAATATGAAAAAATTAGTTGCGTCACAATATGTAACAATGCGTAACGCTACAAACGGACCAACAGCCAACGAGCGGCTGGTTCCCACTGCGTGGAATCCCGCGGAGGCCCGGGGCGAGCCCCCTCCGCGCTCCAGGATGCCGTTCGGTCTCTTCGAGCACCGCTTCACGCGCAGTCCCTTCGCCAACGCGGTGCCCCTCACGGGCACAGACAAGGTGGCGGGCCTGGACCAGCTGGAGCGGCTGGCTCGCCAGAGGCGCAGCGTGCGCACCCGCTACAAAAGGTAAGAGCGCTGCGACCCAGCAGACGCGGCACGTTGGGCTTGGCCACAGGCTTCTTCTCTGTTATGGGGAGCTCTAACTTCAGGGAGGGTTGATGCTTGAGTGCAGCCGTCGAGCGTTTGAAGTCCCCAAGGCACCGGAGCAGGCCACCAAAGCATTGCTCAGCGCACTGGCCATTTGCACTGTCTTAGCGCAATGGCGAGTCTGTTGGATGGCATGGACGCCTGTCGCAGATTGCCTCATGGGAATTGCTAAGTTGTTGGAAAGTTGCGGAGATTGTGTTTGCTCGGGGCGAGACAATGCCCCTGCCCTTTTGCAGGCCGCGAATCGGGTACATGCTATTTGGCATTTCAGACGTGCGTCACCACATCTCTGTCCAAACACAATGCTCTGCATGGTCTACACCTGTCCCCGTAGCTCTAGAGTATCGGCGCTCCAAGTGGAACTGCCAGCAATGCAGATGCAATCACCACGTGCAAGAGCACCCCAAAATAGCACTGTTCAAGCAACTATCGATGTGCCAATTGACACTATATTTATCTTTGCCATCTTTGTGCTCCCTGGTGCGTTTAATTGCTGAGTATATGCGCCTGCCTGAAGGTTCCAGGGGCCTTATCTGGAGTACACATCACTGGAGGACTTAAGAAGAGGCCCCAGGAATTGGCAGGAGTTCTGGAATTGCGATCCACGGGACATGGGCCTCTCGTCTTACTCAGTTCCTGGATCACTGGACGCTCTGGCCGAGAGGACCGAAGAGAATGTTACTTACTTTTTGGTGAGCTTCATCCACAGCCAACCAAAAGCACACGGTCATGTCCATTTGAGCATGCAGTGGACGGCACTGTGATCATGACCCACACCTGATGCACAGCAGCGGCGATGTGTGCAACGTTGTCCTGACAATAGATGACCAACCATGCACTGCAGCACTCAGGGCCTTTCAGTGCAGTATGTTGTGTCATTGGTGGATGGTGTTCGCCTTTCACAATTGGGTGCGCAAGGCCGCCACCATGAACGTCACACTACATGCATTGGCAGGGTTACCAAGGAGTCAATGTTCAAATCGTTGTTGTCATGTCTTGAAAATGTTGTCTTGTATTTCCACTGTTCCAGGTACAACATCGTACAACTGTTGCTTGTGAAGAGTGTCGATATGGTCTTGAACTTGTGGTTGGAGTTTACACCAGTGACAAAAATGAGTAGAAACATACCCAAAGGTAGGTTTCATCTTATGGTAACCAGTTCGGTTGTACTGTCTGGTTGACTACCAATATGGCTGAATATCTTGCCCGATGGATCAGACTTGTTTGTGGATTGCAAACCTGTGCTCACCCTGCTGCAGACGTCACAGAAAAGACCCCCCCAATCACAGATGAGAGGTAGCCACAAGGGTTCTCAGTGCAGCTCTAGCCCAGAGCTCAGAACCCATCGCTGCGGATCACCATTGGACATGGTGTTATTTAATTTTCTCATGGACACCACTTTCCGGCAACCCGAACAATCGTTTGCAGAGCCTTGCCAGCTCGTTTGAGATCTGCTTGTGGTGATAGGTTTGCTGGCGTCCTCAGACTTACCATAGAATGCCTGCATGCATTAAATAGTGTGACTTCAACACAGCTCACTGAATGGCACACCCAGAGTGCGACATAACCCCTTGCAAAAGACCAGGAAGTCTGGAACACTGAGTGCTGGAACGTTTCGACGTGCTGCTGGACACCCCAAGTGCAGTGTGGGTGCTCTGGTGTCTTAGCCAGGGTGGCAGGAGATATCTCTCACAAGGGCATCTGCCAATGTGACAAGAACAGCCATGGCTATGGCCACCAAGGCATGGCTGGCATGAACCATGGCTGACAGCTTTTTTGGCATCTACGCCGAAGGTGGCCATGGTTCCCTTCCCAAAATATACTATTTCGTGCTCTGAAACCATCATGATTGCAAAACTCGGTGGATTTGAGAATGCTGATCTGCTGGCGATTGCTGGTTTGATCGTCACAACCTTGGTGCTGTATCCATGCTATCGCCATTCGCCTGTCATCTGTCACATTTGTGCCATCCTCTGTCACCAGGACGTGTGTGAGCTGACAGGTGCTGCAGTTATTCATCTTGTTGTGCGCCATCTGGTCCAAGGCGATGCAGTCGTGATGGCGTTTTATGGTGCTGCATGCAGCCCTTGGCTGATGAAAGCTTTGTTCAAGCCATCTGAACCTGAATGGCACCTTGTTGGTGTTGTTTTTTCAATGGCCATGAAACAACTACGTGGCCTGCAAGTCATAAGTCTTTACTTGGTGGTATTTGGCTTACATAAGACAATATTGATATCTGCAGTTGATGTTTAGGTCACGAGCAACAGGCTTTTGGAGTGCACAAGGTTCTATGCATTTCTCTATTCTAATGGTGGTTGCAGTTGCCAGCATCTGTGCTGGTGGATGAGGCACCTCTGTGACATCATATTTTGTAGTGACGGCAAGAAGGCCTGTGTTTCTCCATGTCTGAGACCTGATGGATTGAATGAGACGTGTGTGTCTCTGTTGCAGCCCAATTACCTCCGATTGATGGCATGCATCATCCTCATCATGTAAGGGAGCTGGACAGTATAGACATACCTGAATCCCTTGCCTCCAACTGTGGAACAGACTTGGAGGCGATGCAAAATTCTTAATGAACAAGATGGCGTCCAGAAATGCATGGTCTTGCACTTGCTTTATATTGTCAATTCAAGCAATGCATTAGAAATAATGTACAATCTGCTGCCCTGGTGTTACATTTACCTGTGGAGTCAATTTGCTTGCCTGCCAGCTCACGTTGGTTGTGTTTGTGCTTGCCTGCAGGCTTGGCATTGTGAATGCAATGTTTGCAGTGCTGCTGCTTGGCGTGTATGCCTACACCTATGAAGCTCGCTCAAGTGCACAGCCCATCAACAGGGATGATCAGCTTGCTCAGAACTCCAGCAAGCAGTCAGCAAATGTGAGCAGATTATGCTCAGTGCACTTTTCGGGCCAGAACATCATCCAATGGTCGAGCAGGTTTAAACAATGAACTGTTACTGCAGTCAGGAGTGATGAGTTGTGAGCCATATATTAGGTCAAGGGCATGGCGATGGAACCTGTTGGCCATAGCATGGTATGGGCAATGTGCTAGTGTACCAGTTCAGCAAAGTGCAGAGCAAGATTCTCCTTGTCATGGAGATGTGGTGCTTCCTAGATTTGATAGGGGTGGTGTGCATGTGTATGTGTGTATGTGTGTGTGCGGGGTGGGGGTGGGGGGTGGGGGGGTGGGGTCTTGCGGCATAATACTCGCTGATTGTACTGGCAACGACGCGATGTTAGTCTTGAATGGCACTATGCGCAGAAATAAACCCTGGAAGTCATCTATTAGACTTGTGTGCATGTGCAGTGACGACTGGATTTCTTGCTGTGCACATGTCACCCCCATTTGGAGCAGTAAAGTGGGCAGTGCCTGTCGAATTGGTGCTGGTGTTATGAAGTTTTCTGTGCAACTGGATGGTACTGTGGGCACCAGGATAATGGTTGGCTGATGTTGTTTCGGCGTAATGTGTGGCAGGTGCCATTAGTATGGAAGCAGGTGGCTCAATGGTTTGCGGAGGTCGTGGTGCCAGTCACTGTCTTCTGGCTACTGTTTCTCACCCCTGTTGCTGTGCGTGTTGCTCGTGGATTCCTCCTCAGCCTGCTGGCCGTGGGGTTCCATGCTGGTCTTCATCGATCGCCATCCGAGCTTAAGCACAGGTGTGCAGCTCCCTGCTGTCCAGTGTCCATGGTTTGATCAAGGTGATGTTTGACCTGCTGGGTCCTGTGTTCCTGCCCTGGCAATGCCTGAACCATCACTGCCATGCCTGCTTGAGTGTGTCACAGATCTCCTTGCTTGTCAGGTTTGTCTTCCAGGAACAAATCAGATGCATCTTATGTCACGACCTTAGGGTTGTCTAAAGTGCTTATGGCAGTCGCTGTGTGCACAGTATTGGCAGCGCCACCCCTGGGATTTCAAGAGACAGTTGCACTGAGCCGTTGCTAGACTCATCTGAAAAATCTGTGAAAGCTGTCGCAGCGGTGCTGTATATGTTATTAAGCAGATGCTTCATAGTGGCCTTCGTTTTGACCCATGCCCGCCACACGGCGTATTCCAGGATTGTTGAGGTTGCAGTCTTCTGTGAGCCTAAAGATTCACTTCAGTGCCAATCTCATCAGATGCGGTTCTGATTCCCGTTTGCCACAACATTTGCAAAGTCGAATTGCGCTGCGAAACTGGAATATAGAAACAGGTCGTATCTTTGAAACTACTGTCACCAGATGTGTCTGTTGCGGCCCTGTGCCCCATCCCCATTCCCTCACACATCTCATCCTGAGGATTTCCTTGTCACGACAAAGAAAGGTTTTGGTAAAATGGGCCCCCGGCCCCAAAATAGCAAGAAGCTTGCACGAACTTTTTGTGACAACTTTTGTTCTCTCTGAGCTCGGCCAACTTGTGTGACCATGCTCAGGCGACAGCTTGGCATTGTTCGCTGGATGCAGAGAAAGTCTGACATCCCAGAGGGGCTGCCATTGCTTTGGCGAGATGTGTGGCAGTGGCTCTGTGACCGCCTGACGGACCTGCACTACCAATGGCAATGGAAGATGCTTGCACTCAGAGATCAGATCGCTTACCACTGGACTCTAAGGAAGGCAGAGCGGCGTGCCTGAGAGGCACTTACAATGCTGTTGCACCGAATTGAACTGAACTGACAACGAAATTGGGACCTGGCTCTTGTCGATTTCATCGATTTCTTCTACGGGCATCTCATTGTGCAGTAATTGCTCTGTACATAAAGGGGCCACCTGCTACCCTTCCTTTTGGCTACTCTGGCTGTCCGGGCCATCGCATTTGGGCTGTCCTGTTGTGCCCATATCAGGACTGCAGCCACGTTGGCGCGGATGCACTGTCTTGTTGTGAGTCTGCATGCACACAGAGTGTCTGCTCGTGGGAGAGTCACTCAGCGAAATGCGCCAAGTGGGCAGGGTGGCGTGCCTCTGTATAGTAATTGCGTTCAATTGCCAGGTAGGCAAACGCACAGGTGTACCTAAAGTTTGCCAAAGTAAGACAAACAAATGGGCCTGGCCATCAACACGGTGATGGGAGTATCCCTGCTCAAACATACGAAACAGCAAGAAGACTCTCACAGAGAGCGAAACGGCTGCTTCGCCTACCGACTGTGCACACCCACTGTTGAATTGCTACTGTGCCGATGCCCTTGAAGGCTGATGGATCACCGAAAATGTGAACCCGAAACTAAACTGACAGCCGCTTCTTGTATTTCCACGCACAATGCGCGCAGAGATTCACTGACCAAGGTCCACAACGGACTGAACCATCACTCCCCATATGGGAATGCCCGAATTCGACGTACACAACGCTTCAACACCTTTACTCCACAGAATCAGCGTCATCAAGGTGTGTGACCAGTTCCAGCTTTGTGGTGGCCTGTTCTCAGGTTTGCGTGCCTCTTTGCAGCCGGTTCACAAGATGGTGCGGCAAAGGGACCGCTGTAGGTTTTGCGGTGTAGAAATTCAACACTGCGTTTACAGAGGTGTAAAATCTACACCTTCACAACCGCAGTGCTGAATTTGTTGCATGGCGTCTGCGACATGCAGGGTGCAAATTCGCTATCTGGCACAGGTGAAGCCTACCGTATTGAATTCCGCCGATGATCAAACTCCTCGCATTTGGCACTTGCTTGCGAAAAAATGCGTGGAGAAAAATGTCCCCGGAGGGATTCGAGCCCTCGTTGCCACGGCCACAACGTGGAGTCCTAACCACTAGACTACGGGAACGTGTTCAGTTGTGGAATTTGTAAAAATATAATTTGTAACAATCCCCCATTTATCGCCATTTCGAGCAGCTCGTGTCACGGCGCGGCACGCACTGACGCCTGGGAGCTGCAACTTCGGAGATAATGGGCAAGGCGTTATGGGACAAGCCGTTCAAGGCATCTGAAGATTGAAGGACCAGGAGAGCGGACGCCCCCTGCCGCCACCTGTGCCCTCCTGCGCTGCAAAGCACGCTGAGCGGAAGCGAGGGGCGATGAGTGTCCTGCTGCGGGTACCGGCACGTTGTGCACAAGTGAGCCGGTCTCACTGCGGACATCGACGCGTGGCGAGATCTTGCGCAGTGCATCGGCGCTGATTGCGAGCTCCTCGGGGATTCAGTCACAGGGATGCACGCCTTAGGAGCGCCATTATCGGTCTTGCCCCCCATCAGCTCCCCAAGGGATCATGGGGAATCCGTCGTGCACAAGGACGCATGCCCACAGGCCCGCTCGCGCTGTTTCCAAGACACGCAGCCCGCCAGCGCGCGGCGAACGCGGCGAACGTTCGTACAAGCGAAAGACATTCGCACAGAGGTCACAAGGACACGTTTGGATGTTGCAACTGGAACACATCTTTCTCAAAAGTGCGAGGCCCGCGCAGGTGGGGTGTGTGCCACAGGACTCGCATGTACGCCAGGACAGGGCTGGAGAGGCCCAGACTTTGCGCAACAGGATACCGAGGTGATGACAAAGAAGCAGAGAGTGCAGGACAGCAGACCTCAGCCCTCCCAGTTGCAACGAGTGGCAGGTGTAGGATGTGTCCCAACCCAGTGCCCTGCCGCTGTTGTTGCCTGGATCCGTGTTGCACATCACGGCGGGGGCCCTCGTTGCCAACGATATTGAAGGCGCTAAAACGAAAGCCAAGTGGGTACCCCAAACGCACTTACACTTGAATTGCGAACGGCCACTGCGAACAACATGTCAACATCAATGGGACTTCCCACCAGTCGTGTGGCTGGCTCCATTCGCCCATCCAAAAAAGGTTCCCTTGCTGTCAAAGTGGGGCGAATGGCATTACGTAAACCTTTCCACACAGTCACCTTTTGGGGGGGAGAGGGGCCCTGGATCAAATTCAAACCTCAAAGATGTTCAAAAGCACATCCCAAACCAATCAAACAAACACGGCCTCTTGGGCGGGACCCAATGCACCCACTTCCCCGGCAACACACCTCGTTCCAGGCAAGACACAGCACTGCTTCATAGAGTACATAGTGTTTCAAGGCTGGTCGACAAAACCCTCTCACACCGGTCCCACTCAAGCCCCCCACGGTCCCATTCCCCACTCCCACCACCACCCCCTTGTCCAAAGAAAAAAGCCTAAAGTCCTCGATCAAATGTGGGATCCAAAACGGACAGCCTTCTGCGGGTCCCTACAAGGAGTGTGTGTGTATATATAGATAGAAGGCGGAAGACCCTTCTCACAAAACCAACAGGCATTCTGGGTGCAAACGTGGCGACATCATCACCCAAGGGCAGTCGCCACTTCGTCTCGTGCAGCAGGTAACCTTGTGGGCGAGGATCTCATCCGCTACAACAGCCGAAGAACGGAAACGGAAATCATAACGTGGGGTGGTCTGCTACAGGATGACAGGCACGCCAGCCTTAGCTCAGGCTATCCTGGGACCTAGCCCTAGACCTAAGACCTAGGACCTGGGCCCATCCTTTGGATGGGACAGTTCGCAGCTTGTGGTTCGCCCTGCAAACAACACCAGCAAAAATCCCAGCGAAAGAAAACACTCCGCAAAATTTCGGCACTGATTCCTGGTTTCACCGCCTTCCCCTCCTGCGCCCTCCAAAAAACCCATCCCAAGCGCGCCAGAAGGTCAATAAAGAATCCGAACCCATCAGCCAAAGTGTATACACGGTTTCCAGTCGCCGATGTGGCCAAATCGGTACATTGTAGGCTGTTTATTGCCGTCATTTTTCTCCTTTTCGTGTTTTTCCCCCTTCCCCTTCCGAATTCCAGCACTGGGGCATGCACAGCTCAACCTTATGTCCATCCAGCTTGCGCAACCACAACCTTCCTCTCAAACCTCGCTTCCTCAACGAACGGGTCCCGAGGACCACCAGTGGCAGGTATCCTCCAGGCCAAGTCCAGAAGTTGATGGCGCACATGGCCCAAATACACAGAACAGCAGACGCCAATGCATGTCACTGGCCCTTCCAAACCCCAGGATGCCCAGCTCAGTGCTTCAGAAGCACAAACAAAATATGCGTTGGCAGTGAAAGACTGAGCTTTGAGGATGTGGCCCTACTCCCTAAGGAGATTCAGGAATTGGCTCCCTGCAAGACAAAGGAGGACAAACCCATCTCAAGCGGCAGTGGGTGTTACTGAGCACACTGGGAGAAATTGCCAGCAGGTGGACCACACCCTGAGCTTGTTATTGGGATGGCACAGTGAAGCTGCCCCGAGTTTATTCTGCTAACCCAGAGAATACCCAACTACTGAGGGCTGCCATAACTGGCTGGGTGTCCTATAAGTACAGCGCGCCAGCCACACCAATGTACAAGCCAACATGCACAATTGCAGACCACCCAAGGCAACCTCTCGGTCTATCACAAACCATGAAGTCAATACCAGAATCTAGGGAGACGATCTGGCAATCGCCAGTTGCAGCTATAGAAATTGTGTCCAAGCGCTGGTTTGCCATGCTCTGCACCGCTACTGCATGTTACTTGACTTTTTACATGAATGAGATTTTGAATTCCTCGGTTAAAGGATGCATCACAATACAACCCAACTCACCTGCCAATACTGCTGCCTGCCATGGACGAGGCCTGGCCCATCAGCTCTTTCAACTGTTGGCGAATCTTGGCGTTGGACTGCATAAGCAGCTGGTTGCGGCTCCACATGGTCTTTGTGGACGTGCTGCATTGGTCCAGAAAATTTCTGCAGTGCACAACACAGTGTCAGCCAACTGCCCAACAAATCCAATGGTTAGAACACAGGCTGCTCACAGCCCAATCAATCGCATCTATGCCCTCATCCATGGCCCCAGAGCATTTTTGCGAAGTTGACAATTGCGACTTGCCCAAGAAGTGTCATTTACTGAGGTGAAGTGACAGCACCAAGCACGAGCAGCACAACAGTGGAACGCCATGGCCATCCAATTTGCCCAAACTTCATTATGTTGTGGATCAAGACGCAAGGTTTGACAGAAACACATCTGGGCTTTCGACAGCTCCCAACTCAATACACCTGGCACCAGAGGGAGGAACCACGTAAGTTGGCCATGGTGATCAACAACGCATGAGCTGCTTCGGCAACTCAACCGTGCCTTGTCCTCGGCACTGCTATTGTGTGCAGTAAGCTGTGCAAGATTACTCCAGCTGCAAGTAGGATGGTCAAGTCTCCACCTATGCAAAAGGACATGCAAGCAGAAAGAGAGTGGCCAGCGTCGTTTGTTCCCCCAATGAAAGAAAAAGCACAAAAACAAATCAACACAACGCTTGCCAATCCTTAAGACCGGAACAGCCCCGCTGGCCCCCACCTGAGCGTCTTCTCCTTCTCGCTCCTCTCAATGAGCGTGTCCATCGCCATGAGGCACTCCTTCCTGATGCGCTGAATCTGCGCCTCGTTCTCCTCGATGCTCTCCACCATCGCCTTGACCATCTCGGCGTGCTGCTGCGGCGGCGCCCCGCACGCCACCGACACCGTGCTCCGTGGCGTCATCGAGGCGGGCGAGCGCGAGTTGGCCACCCTCAGGTGGGACATGCGCTCGCGCACCCACTCGGCGCCAGCGGAGGAGGGCGTGATGCTGCGTGCGAGGGCAGCGGGCACATCGGGATGGCCGCAGCGCGGGTGGGGTGACGTGCGTACGCGGTCGTGAGGCACGCTGGAGGCCTGCGGGGGCAAGCACACCGTGCGGGGCCGTCGGCAGTCGGAGAGATGGCGAACCGCGGCAAAACCCTCGAGGCAGGCAATCGGCGCGACGCGACATAGAGGCCCCGCGGAAGGGACGCCGGGTGCAAACGCTGCGGCTGCGCTTTGCATGGCCGCCAATCGGGGCGCGGGAACTTCGAACAGCGATGGATTGAAGAGGGGGATATGATCGCGCCAGAGCCAACTCGGCTTCCTGGAGAGTGGTCCCTGGGAAGCAGCGGGCCCCAGGATGCCATACTTGCGATAATGAAATCGGGAAGCCTGGCCAGAGGTGGGAAACAATAACGCGGGGAGGATCCCGCGGTTGCATCTCTGGGTTTCCTTTGGAAAGCACCAGACGACGGGGCCCAACTAATCACGCCCGGGCCCGCGCCGGGGTCCAGGACGTGATCAGATGGGTGGGAAAGAGGAGTGAAGGGCGTCTGTTCCGCGCCGGCCACGATCAGGACTGCCGCTTACCGGGAGGTTGAGCCCGGGGCGATCGCCTCCGGGGCCCACGGGCGGGAACTGCCCGTACTTCTCGCCCACGGCGCGGTTGCTCAGATACATGGAGCCTCCTGCGAACACACAACAACGTCACAAGATGCATCGCAACATGAAATCCGACACTCAATGAAGGCACGCCTCCCCAAACATCCACATTTCCGCGGCGGCCCCACGCCCTGCCGCTCGAGCGAGCCGGTGCCTCAGCGGTTGCAGGCGACCGTGGCAGGGCTTCGCCGTCGGGTGGAACCCCAAAAACCCCATCCGCGATCGCGCCCCGCTGCCCGCAAAACTCCATCGAAGGGCAGTGGATGGCGCCCAGCGCGCACGGGCGGGCATCAGGGCGCCAATCGACCAGAGCTGTGGTGCCAATCCCCGCAGTCCGGCGCCCCGTTGCCAATCTTACTAATCGGGAGACCGCACGAGGGCGGCGAAGCGCCGGCCGATCGGGGCGTGCGCTCCCGATGCCGGCCTCCCCTCCCACCCAACCCCCCCGCGCGCCAATCCGCGGCATCCGGCATCGATGGCCCCGTCGGGGCGCAGCGCTTTGGCCCTGCCGCCGCGGCGCTCGCCAATCGGCGCCAGGAACCCGCGCCGACGCATCACGGGCCCCGCCAATCTCCCCCTCAAAACACCGTCCGCCCACCCCTGCCCGCTCCGCCCGGCCCGGCGCCTCGATCCCGCGCGCCGGATGATGCCCTGACCGGCTCATCTCGCTCCTGGGCCCCCCGCTCACCTCGTTCTTCGGCACCCGCACAGGGCAGGCCTGGCGATCAAACGGCGCGAATCGAGCCGCGCGGGCCGAATCAAGGGCACCCGGATGCGGTCCTCGCGCCCGTGGGGCCACGGCCCGGGGGGGAGCTATGCCGGCGGCCGGTGTCCTGCGCTCGGCGCGCGGCGCGGGGGTGGTCGGGCGCCCAGGGTGGCAGCGTCCCGCGGCGGATATCGGCGCGTGTGAGCGGGGGGGCGCCTTTCCTGCAGGCATGGCGGTCGGCTGACGGGGGGCTGATGCGCGATCTCCTCGAAATCCACCTGAGCCGCCGCGGCGCATGGGCACCCGGGGCTGCCAGGTGTGCGAGCGGCTTATGTACAGGAGCGTTCAAGTGTTGAGGGGGGCTGGCAGAATAGCGGTTATGTACAGGAGGCTTTGCGGGGGGCAGCACAGCAATTGTTATGTACAGAAGGCTCTGCGCCAGGGGGACAGAGGCGACAGTTGCGTTGGCGTACAGGAAGCCGCAGGCACCGCTGGCCTACGCTGGTCCGTGCAGGAGGTTGCGCGGGGGAGGAGTGTGTGTAATGCAATGAGGGAGGCAGCGCTGGACCTGAGGATTCCCGATCCGAACTGATCCGGGAGCGCGCCCGGCGCCGTTGATCGGGAGGGGTGAGGAGGGGGTGGCCGCGCCCCCGAGCCTGCAGCGGTGCGCCCGACGCTATTGCGTCCGGGTGGACCTGGCCCGTGGGCTGCGGTCGGCGGCGGGCGTGCACGCGATGAGGCACTGCGGGGAGTGCGCGTGCACGTGGGGCTGGCTCACACCTCAAACCCTCTAATACGGCGCAGCGGCTGACGGCAGCTCCACGCTGGCCTAATCCGTGGCCTGGGGCCCGCACAGCTCAGCCGGAGGGGTCGAGGGTGGGATTTTTTGGACTGGGATTTGGCCTGCGGCATCCTCCGCTGTGGACAGCGCGGGGGTGCCCGTCACGTGAGGCAGCGGTGGCGGAGATACTTGGGGGCTCCGGAGCTGCTTGTTGCGGAAAAGCAATTTTTGCGGTGGCCACAACACCTCCATGCGCCTGTGCATCGCCTCTGCGCCCAAGAATGTCGTCCCCCGTCGTCAATTGGCGATAGGGCGTTGTGCGGGTATTGTTATATACAGTCCGGAGGGAGGGGGGTCATGCAGATCAATCCTCGGCAGCATGCAAGTGATCGTTACCAGAGTGAAAACTGGCCTGCCAAAGTGCATCAGAATGTGATAGGGCTGTCGGCGCAGTACCAATCTGGAAGGTCGTGAGGGAACACCTTCGGCCTGCTTGTTTGCTGTTGAGCTGGGCGTTGAAGCGCAGGTGGTGCCCTCGTGACTACCGTGTTGGTCACCTTGTGACGCGCTTTGATTGATGAAGCAGAGGCAGGCGCGTGTGCCACAAGTCAGGACGAGTCTGCACACTCCAGGACGACAGCTTGGACTTCGTCCGTCACGACCATCGCCGATAGAAAAACAGGTGCTTGTCAAAGTTCCTTAGCCTTCCCTGTTCGAGATCCAGCTCGTCGCAATCCAATGGGCGCAGCGATGGACCACAACGCAACACAAGTCAAACCGTTTGGGTTCGACCTCTGTGGCAACCTTGGTGCACGCGGTGCTCAAACGCACTCGCCGTGCATGGTCGGACAAGCAGCCGAGGCTCAACTTGTCTTACAACCAAACCAAGAGGAGCCACGAACAGTCTCGGGCTCTCTTTAAATACCAGAATGCGCCTCTTCTTTTGCCCACCAGCACTCACACTCAGAGCGCCGGATTGAACTCACACTTCACACACGCACAACACGCTACCCCACAGCACCGATCCATAACATCGACCCATGGCACCGACCCAAAGCTCCAACCCACAGCACCAACTCACGATCACCAAAATTAGTAAGATTGAAGCTGATTGTTGGCCAGCCATCCTCCCGCCATCTCAATCAGGTCAATGTGTGCACCAGTCAGCCAGCACATGGACAGATGCTTGCACAACATGGCCGCTGCGGCTGTCTTGGTGTGTCAGACTTTCATCTCTTTGAACTGGCGTTTTAAGCCGCATTCACTTCTCTCATTGAGTTTCACTGCACACCAGTGTTCAGCCACCGACCTCCAATTATGAGAACTGGAAAGTTGCATGCGAAACATCGAGAAAAGGTGACAGCCATTCAAAGACATTGTTGATGGCATTCCTCGAAACGGGATTCTCATATGCCAACATTTAATCATCGGAATGCAAACAAGTAACTGACGGAGGCAGATCAGTGGTCAATTACTGGTAAATCGAACAGTGCCCATAAATTACCCAATCTGAGCCAATATCTTCACACGCAAATAGTCGCAGCTACGCCGATGCAAAGCCAGCTAGACACTGAAACCATGATGCACGTCACGGCACAGGCAACATTTGTGGCGGCGCCAATGCATTACCAACGGTGAAGCTTGGCCACATAGACAGGCCACCCGCCTTCCACTTTTTCAAACATGGCGACGCTCCTGTGCTGCTGGGGATTCTGAACCCGTGTTTACGCAATAAAACATGGTACAGGTGTTGCTCATCACAATGTTGGATATGTGGAAAGAAGGCAGGGCAGGTCGGTGAACAGGAAGGACATAGAAGGGGCCGATAAACAGTGTCGTATTGTGCAAAACACGCTGTGTCTGACAATTGTGCAGCCAAACCCGAACTCCGACAACTGCGCTTCAAGCTCATTAGGCCTCCACAAAGGTATTGCAGCTGTCCTTCAGTTGCAGCGAGTTCTCCCTCAATCTGAAACAGCTTATGGTCTTCCCTTCCCACAATGGTGGCTGAACGTTGCAACCAGAAAGAAAACATCGCGGGTCGTCGACACCAAGGATATAGGAGTATGAATCAAAATCCCATTCCTACAACAATACCAATCACACACTTAACAGTCATGCAACCAGACGTTTCCTAGGCTCAGAAATCCTGTCCTTCACCGCCTGAACCAGAGGCGCAGCCTGGTCACATGCGTCCCTCATTTGCCTCTCATAGTCCCCCATGGTGAAGAAATTGACGCCACTCTTCTGCGACCGAGCCACTGAAACCCTCCGCTCGCCCATGGCCTCCACATCGTCCTTTCCGCTGAACGGTGAGCTCCGTGATATCAGGTGCACCAGGGCGTCCGGCGCCTTGGATGGCAGACTCGCCCTCCTATGCTCCCTCCAAGGCACCAGACCCAGACGATCACGCATGCCTCCATCGCCATGTGGGCCATCCTCAACACCTGGAAGATGCGGACAACACGTCTCAAGAGAATTGGGAAATCGTGGCCAATGGACGCAGGTGGTGACTTGGCAACCTTTGAAAATGCGTCCAGGGGAGGGAATGAGAGGGACTCTTGCCATTGAGGATGGTGAAGAAAACGCCTTCTCCTGCAATAGGAGCAAAATGCAGAGACACAGGGAATTGCCAAATACATCAGAAATGCCCAATTCTTCTTGCTGTCAATCAAACTACAGGTAGGTTCAACAACAGAACAAATCGTCTCCATTCTGAGGCCTAGGATGTTCAATGTGTCCACAACGTGGAATCTCATCAATCGAAAGAGGCCAACGATTGTCCATCTGCAAACGAATCGAAAATAAGGGCAATACCACAGAGCAGAGAGACCCATGCAGGTTGCCGATGGGAGGCAGCACTTAAGCATACCAGGAACATCCACAGGGGCGAAGAGCACTGGAATGGCTCCAGATGCAGCCACTGCTTCTGGCAGAGGACCAGAGTCGATCAGCCTGTGCTGACCATTTGAGTCAATCACGCCAACAGCAAACTTGCGGTCCAAGTCTTCGAAAGTCGGAGGCAGGAGCTCCCTCAGTCGATCGACAACCACATGCAGTGACAGTAGTCCGCACCAGAACCGCCAGCAGGGCCGCAACAACAGGACTGGCGGAACCACGCAGAGTTCTGTGGCGATCTGCAGGTGAAGGCAGCAACACAGGATCAGTCAACGTCCCTATCATCTTGAATGCAACTACTGATGTACATTGGGCAAGCCCTTCACGCCATAGCAAAACTGAGTGTTGCACTGTCACCTTGTCACTGGGACACACTTTTGTAGCAAAGTGGAAGTTGCAATCTTGCCCACATGACTGGGCTTCCATGATGAACAGCACAATATGCCACAAAATCGCACATTGCCGATGCGTGCACGATCTGCCTGTGGAAGAGACAATGAGTATGAGACTCGAAATACAAAACCACAGATGCAGAAACAACAGCATACCTGCTCTGGTGTATAGCCTGCACAGTACAGGCTTCCAGCATAAGCTCCAGAGCTTGTCCCCATAATGCCACCAATAGGGAGATCAGCCTGGCCATCAGGGAGTGTCATGAAATGCCATCAGCCTTGACTCGCTGGCACACAGAGAAGCATGCAAATCATATCTCTACACCACTGGCAGTAGGAAGAACACAACAAACTCTAGCTGCAACCATATCTGCAAGTGCCAGAATGTCTGGGCCAAGCATAAATCAAGGGAGTCAGTGCTTCAAGGGATGCAAGTCGGTGCGGCTCAAATGTGCGGATTGTGATTCACCATCTGTGTGCACTCAACTTCGACTCTGCTTTGCAACACCAGTAGTTTGTCATCAAAGCACTGCTTCACTGCTGCAGAATACAGGAAACTTATTACAGTATGCTGATGGTTTTGTTGTGTCCACAACGTACAAACCCATGAAGAGCTGACAGAAACTGCTTCAATCTCGCGCCCACGACAGCAGCTCTGCATATCAACAGGAGGCAAATCTTTAAAGCCCCCATTGTTTCTCATCCTTCACAGCATACCCCTACAAGGGTTTAAACCAAGACTTTCCCTGTCCATTGCATCCAATCCACTGTGCCAGATCTTGGGAGAAGCGCTCAGACTTCCAAGAAACCTGTTTCAACGAGCGACATGGTTTCTTTGCTCCAGAACGCCTGCAAGCACTGGCATGCACGGCTGGGAAAAGCTCGCGGCCACACAGTAGTCTTGTACGTTCCCCACAAATGGCCCCAATGCAGTATTAGCTTACGTGCATCATTTCTCTGGAGCACAGGAGCATCTGGTAGACATGAGCAGTGAGCAATAGCAAGGTTCACGGACTGTCATAACGTTGTGATCAGAACGCTGTCGTCCAGCAAATCAGTGATTGTAATCAATGTGTAAACCATACACCAGCGCACGCATTTTCAGCAGTTGACACGCATGAACGAAAGCGCGCAGCCGCGGTACCCACGTCTTCCACGGCTTGCAGAAACCCCGCGTGCTTGGCGAACGCCAGGAACCCGCTGGACAGCACCAGATCCACCTCACGAGTTGTATCTATCAAAGCACATATCAGATCAGCAACAGGTCCACCAGTACGTGTACTATGGCTTCTTGCAACGAAACCCGAATACCTTAAGGCCTGGGCAACGACACCGCTGAAAGTTTTTGAAGGAAAGCGCACCTGGTTCGTTGGGAGCAGCCCGGGAGCGGATAGCGGGCCATCTAAGCGGCGGCCCACCGTCGGAGTGAGGCAGGGAGCTAACTCCATGGGCGAGGAACGGAGCGCAAATTCCTTGGCTCGTGGGGAAAGCACACATGCACCGAACGCCCAGCATGGGACCCAGCATCGCGGCAAGTGGGGCGCCGCGCGCGCACTGCGCCGCTCTCCACGCCTCCGGCGGTGACCGACCGGCGTCGGGAAGAGCAGCACGCGGCCCCTCTGCGGACGGCCGCGCGACCACGAAACGCTCAACCTTTAATGTACAGGGCACCAAGAGCGGGGTGCATGATGCAAGCACCAGCGGGAAATGCGCATGTTGGAAGGAATCTCGATGCTCTTGGACGACTCCTCGCCTCACCGCCTGAGGCCCGCGGCTTTCGCCCCTTCCGCTGTTGCGCCCAGCGGACGGGGGACCACACATGCAGTGTCCTTCCCGGGGACGTGCTTAGACGCCTGTCCGCGCCTCTTCTCCCCTTTCCATCGGCAATCCTTGTTCGGCCACGGTCGCGCATGCAGGCGGCCGCAAAGGGCCGTGGCGTGGTGACAACAGTATTCAGCAGCGGGGCTTCTGGAAAGCCCCGCCTTCAAGTGCACAGCCCACATCCAGAAACAACCATCCGATGATTGCTCACTGCGTCTAGTGCTAATCCCGTCCCCGGAGTCGGTGACACCCAAACAACGGGGGGGGGGGTTGGAGAAGGAATCTGGAGTCTGAGGCCCACTGCGACCGCCGCGCACGGCGCTGAGAACCGGCACTGGGCATTGACGAGACAAACACAGCAGCGGGCGCCCACCGAACCAGTGCTGTGGGTATTGCAATAGCATCTTTGCCGGCCCTCTCGCTTTCTAGTGTTATCCTCACGTTAACTGTCTTGGGCCCACTTTTCCGTGCACGGGAGGAGGAGCCGCTTCCAATAACCGCGCGAGGAGTGGTCCACCAAGCACCTGGGAGCATTGGCTTTGTGACAAGGAAGCGCACGACACGACAAGAAGCATGAATCAGGACCACGGTCAATGCCCATTGGTCCAGGCCTGGGTAGCGACTGTTCCATTCGTGAGCTGATGCGAGTAAGTCGCTGCTAATTGCCGCGGTTGAGCCCCAAGCCACTTGCACACCGGGACTGCTTTGCAGTGGACGCCGTGGGCCAAGACCTTCAGGCGAGCATGGCCGGGTAAGGCATACGGCAAGGCTGCCGCCAGATCACTGCAGCTGCTGCCACGGAAAGGTGGCAGAAAGCACCGCCACAACCCGACAGCCGCATCAACCTGCGGATTTCATCACGCGAGGGAGAAAGGCAACAGAAACGCACACTCGCAGGTCCTAACTGCAGCCATGGCGCGTGCTGCCTGTCGTTCAATGGCGGCCCCAAATTTGGGGCCCCTGACCACAAAGTTCCGTCGAGGGACTTTGCACGGCTGACCCTGTCAGTCCTCTGTTTCCAACGACGGACGCACGGCCGCCAGCCGCCTCCCAGGACCCTCCCCGGCGTCCCAACTCGAATGTCCAGCGCCGCGTTTACACGGACGGCGCCCCCACATGCCCTGGCTACACTGCCCATCACTCCTTCCCAAAAGCCGACAGCCGTACAGAGCAGCTCGTGACGACAGCCCCAAGCGGGCCTGGGCTTACTACTTGCCCCAGAGCCCCGATGTCCGCGCTGAGCGGGCCACACCCCACCCAGTGCGGAACTGACTTGCGTGCACGGGGGCTCCGCCAGTACGTGCTTGTGCGTTCAGAATCTGGGCCGAATCCACAGTCCCCACCCGCTGGGGAATCCCCGGCCCGTCCCTGGGGCCCCGTCCGGGCGGTGGGCGGCCCGGCGCCGGTCAATTTTCCGGATCCGGCCCTCGTCCATATTTCAGCGCTGCCAGCCCGCCTAGGTTCAGTGGTGGGCGCGCGTGCGAACGGTGCGGCTTGGCTTCTTGTCAAGGGGCGGTTGAGAGGGAGCTGGCGCGGCAGGTCCAGGGCCAGGTCGTCCGGCTGACTGCCGCGGGGAGCCGCCGAGCGGTTTCTGGCCCTCGGGATCCCGGCAAGCAAGCGGGGGGGTCGCTTCTTCCGGCGGACGCGCGTTTGGCGAAGCTAACGCGGTTTTGCCCAACCGGTGGACAGCGCCGAGCGCGGCTGTGCTGATTGCCGGCCTTTCCGGATCGGTCTGGGGGTTGGAGCTGGGGCGCGTCCGTGAGCCTTGAAGAGAGCGGAGGCGAGGGGAAGGGAAAATCGCGATGGCGTCTGTCAGGGTGGCTGCGCTGCTTCCGACCCGGCCTGAGGTGAGCGCGGCGCAGGGACGCTGGTAGCAGCCCCGCCTCCGCCCCGGGACTCCCGTTTTTCTTTGTTTCCAGGGGCTGTTTCCCGAGGGGTGGGATCGCGGGCGTTTGAGCCCCGTTGCCGCCGCCTTGTCCAGGTGTCGAAGGCCTTTTTCAAGGGCGACGACGAGCGGCTGCTGGAGCGGATGCTGGAGGCCTGCCAGGCGCGGCCCACGGCGCGGCTGCCGGGCTACGGCCGCCAGCTGGTGCCGTACTTCTCGGAGGCCGCCGAGGGCGCCGGCCAGCCGCTGGAGCACCGGGCGAGGTGCGCGGTTGGCGGGTCCCGTACCGATGCGCACGAGGCGGAGCTGGCCGCGCTCTGTCCCGCTCTGCGGGGGGCTGCCGGCTTTGGGGAGGCTTTTGCATTGGGCCTGCCGGTCGCTCTCTCTGCTGCTGTTTGTCGGCAGACTGGGATGTCCATCCTAGCAGCGTGCCCGCTGTCCTGCCAACAGTCTGGGGATCTGGACCGCCCCCCACCCCCCACCCCAACGTCCAATTTTTTGGGGTGTTCTTGCCCGTTGTGGCGGCGCCCCCGTTTGTCCTTTCCGTCTGTACTCTGGTTTGTCTGCCTGCTGTCGAGGGGCGAGCTCCAATCAACGCGTCGACGATCCGACACATCTGCCCAGGTGGGGCGCGCGTGTTTTTCTCTCACCGTTTACCCTTTCGTCGTTTGGCGTCATTTCTTCCCAGTCGTAGCGCCGCTGAGCTGCGCCCCGCCCGCGGGTGCTGGATCGCAGGGCCGGCAAGCGCGAGGGCACGATGAAGCCGGAGGGTCGCCGGCAAAATAAGAAGAAATCCCCTCGCAGGGGCGCCAATAACGCGGGCGGCGGCTTCAGCGCCGGCGCGGGCCGCGACGGCGCCCTACAGGGAGGCCAGTCGCCCCCCGTGCCCATCAACAGCGGCAGGGGCAGGCCCGAGGAGCGCGGCGCGATCAGGAAGAAGGCGTCGGTGCCGGCGGGGCAGGCTGCGGCCAAGGGAGCCGCGGGACATTGCGACGTGCACGAGCAACGCAATGCGGGCGTCCCGGACGCCACGTTCGCCGGACCGGGCTATTTCTTGTCGCCGCCTCCGGAGGCCCTGCCCATGCCCACACCGACGCTGCTGTCTCGTGCGATGGCAGTTTCCTACTGAACCCACCCGACAGCGGTGCGTGTGTGTGGGGGGGGGGGTTCCGGCACTCTTTAAAGGGGGGAGAGGGGGGGGGCGTATATTTGTTTCCTGTTAGCGGGAAATGAGGAATTTCTTGGGGCGCAAGTGCGCCAGTTCCAAGACTGTCGATTTTGGAGGTTGGGGACTCGTGGGAGATGCGCCAAGAAGCACACTGCCAGTTTGCTTCTTCGAGGCAACGCAGAATGGGGGAGGGCGCCCGAGATACAAGCAGTGGCGCATCGATGACGTACCCCGGCGGCCAGGGTTTCTTTTTTGCAGTCCAAGGTTCTCGCAGTTCATGTTTTGTCTGGGTGCAAGGCAGAGGGCCGCCATGAAGACACTGCAGAAGATGCAGGACTGTTTGCAAGGAGAGCCTGCGAAGCACGGGAGATTCATCCATCGTCGTTGGTTGAGAACGATGAAAGCGCAGCAACGAATGACAGGGGAATGCATTTTCTGGACCTCGTGTGGTGTGTGTTCAGCAGATACTGGAGACAGTGTGAGGGGGAGGATGGGGACGTCTGTGACATGGTCGAGGCCCCCGCGAAATGCAGTGGGCTTGTTGGGGTCGGGGTGTAGGTAGGCCAATAAAGCGTTGTGACTCGGTCGTTTTTGAAGTACCGGTCGCTCGCATTCAGGTTCGCGGTGATGTGCAGGGGAGTGCTGCGCTCTTCTCAGGAGTGCAGTACTGGCTTGCAGGACTGTCCTTACTGTATTTGATTCTTTGATTGTTTCGTTGGCGTTCACAGACAAAGCTGTTTTGGGGTGGGGTCCCCACCCTCTCCCCAGCAACTGTTTCCTTGGGGCTCGAACACCAGTGCTGTATGTGTGTGCGGGGTGCTTTGGACATGTGGCTGTCGAGGGAGGCTCCCTTGCATTGGGCGCCGTGGTCGGCTGTCTCCTAGATGTTGGCAATACCTGAGGCCCTGTCAGATGGACGGGCATGGCTGACGATGAGGAATCTTAGTGCGACCCTCTGTAAGGGATCTGCGAGTACCAGGATTTGGAGACTGGATGGGTTTTCGGGTTAGCAATGGCTGGGCTTCGTTGCAGTGGCTGTACATGGGCAGAGAGGGGTGTGTATTGTACAACACTGTGCGGTTTTCTGGGGCTAGCAATAGGGGCACGTGGGAGCATCCTCGAAACCCCACCAGTTGAGCGACTCAATAATCGAGGGGCTCCTTGGCCCAGTCGCTTCCCTTGGCGACATGGACAGGAGGGGCATGTGAAGGGACCAGCTTTTGGCACCAGCCATAGCCGACACCGTGCGGGACGTTGTTGTCAAAACCTTTAGCAAACGTGGCTGGTGGGTGGGGGCGTGCATGCCAGTGTGCACTGTCGAACCCAAACGCGACTTACAAACGAAGGATACGGTGTGACGGTGGGCTGGTGCACTGTGACGGGTGCTGCGGGGCGGAGAGAATTTTTGTTGCAGTTTCTTATCGGGGTGACTGTGCTGTGATCCCATTTCAGAAACTTAAAACAATGTGACGGTTATGCACATCTGATGATCTTGAAACGGATTTGGACGACAGGAGGCGCCTCTTGGCCGTGCGCGTGCGCGGCTTGCGCCCTCCAGCAAGTCCAATTCGGTGTGCTCGGGGAGAACTTAAGGAGCCAGGGCACAGAACATTGGCGATTCGATACCTTTGCAATCCGGGGCCTGGGGAGGGGCTAGAGATTGACACATGCGTTGTTGGAACAGACGAAGTACTGGTTAAGGTACTGGGAGAGACGGAGGCAGCAATCAACTGCCCATTCAGTTCTCACGGTCGGACTGCGATCTGACATCGTGTTATTGGCGCGACTGCGGGTCTGTTCCTGGGCATGGCTGCCCCTTTCTCTCGATTTTTCATTGACATAGTCAAGGGGGGCACATATATGATTCTGGGATTCTGAAAAAGGGACGAGAACAGCAGGTGCTGGCATCGGCACAGCACAGACCCACAAGCTGCCGGTGGCAGCAATTCAGCTGTGAACTTTTCCGGGGGCGGGGTGCCGTTGGGATTTCGAGTTGGCGCATGGGTACGAATGTGAGTTGATATGTGTGATGGCCGATGCACAACTGCTTGGCCTTGGAATTGAATGCTGCTGTCATTTCGATGGTGTGACTTCATGGCAGCCTGTGAACCGCATGTGCTGGAGTGCGAGTTTCGATTTCGTTCGTACGGTGGCGATGTGACTTGGAGTATGTAATGGTTCGGCTGCAACAAGTGCGGATGTTGGAAGGCACGTCTTGACACCAGCCTTTCCACGTTATTTGCTGTTGGCTCTCGTTGGCGATCCCCACATGTCGCTGAATGTCATGGCTTCAGCGGGCGGGCTGCCAATTGCGAGGCGTCTTGGAGGTCTCTCGTGCAACAACGCGTTCTGCGCGCGGCCCAGGCGTTTCATAAGGAAAGCTCGATGAGAGGTGCGGTGGACCCACATTGCTCGTCGTCTCGCCGTTTTCCCGAGGCGCGCAATGCGATGGGGCCTCGTTGCCTGGCAGCAGCCTTGATTTTAAACGTCCTTTCCTCGCGCACTACAATAGGCACGCGGCGGTCCTCCCATGCAGCATTTTGGCTCGATCAGACGCAGCCCCTGTTCTCCAGTTGCAATCAAATGTTCAGGGCGACGGACAATGGCGGCCCTGGCGGCAAAGCCAGCGCCGGGTTGTGCCGCCTTTGCGATCTGGCGGATCGGCCGCTTGTGGACAAATCAACAAACAGTGTCGCCGTGGTCGGGTCTTGGTCGTCAAGCGTGAGGTCAGCCATCAGCACCTGCGGAACCGCCCACCGTCACCCGAAAAGAAAGCAGAGGTCGTCCGCTGTGAGGCGGCCCAGGGCTTCGGCGTCTCGTCCGACCGTGCCTTCGAACACGAGTTGCTTCTTTTCTTGGAGCTTCAGGATCCTCTCCTCGATTGTGCCCGCGATGATGAATCTCGTGACGCGGATGGGCTTGTACTGACCGAGCCTGTGTTGGCACAGCCGCAGGCGATTTCACTTGCTGCCCGTCAGAGGATAATGCCGAACATGCAAATGCCGGCAAATCCCGGGACACAGAATTGCATTGGGCCGCTGTTCGAAGCGTTGTTGATGCATGCCCGCCAAAGATCGTAGGCAGTCAATTCGGTGGCGTTCCCTGTGCATGCTGCAGGATCAGGAGCAGGGCTGCTCCCGTACGGAACGAATCGCGAACGGGGATGGGGATGGGCAGGGGCTGCGGAATCTCCAGGCGGCATGGACACAGCGTTCTAGATATCAGGACGCGTGCAGCAACAAAGTCCACCATGCCAACTGGGAGCAATTGCTCCAGCGCCTTTGTTCAGCTGGTGATTGGACCACACGCAGCATTGCCCTCGTCCTGCTGAGCAAGCTGAGCTACACCCAGTACGGCTGAAAGTGTGCATGCACCAAGTCGCCAAGCCAGGCCAGGCTCTCCCAATCCCTGGTGCCGACGCGCAGACAATATGCTGTACGTAGCTCCTCAACGGTTGTGCTGCAATTGGGCTGCCTGTCTTGCGCGTTTGCATGGCCATGAAGGGATATTGAGGCACAAGTGTCCTCCAGTTAGTGCACTGTGCTGCAGTGTATATTCTTGCCGCACCACAGGGGGGATTCCATCTTCCATTTTACATGCGATTAGGATGGGCTGCATTGGCCTCTTCAAGGGGACGGGTTTCGAGGTTGGATACATTTAAAGATCTGCTAACACGACGAGACAGCAGCACAGCACTTCTTGTTTTGATATTATTTGCGCTGCAGAAGTATCAACGCAAGAAAAGTCAACAACCCACCCGCCCATCCACGGCAAGCGCAAATTTTCCCACCAAGAATTCAACTCCATGTCCAATCGCTGGCCGTTGGGCTTGTGAACCACGGCGAGTAATGGAGTTCCTTGTTTGGCAGGATCTTTTTGCCAGCTCTGCGTTCTAATTTGGACACTGCACGAACAATAGTCCCTACTGTCCCACAGAGAGTGGGGCCAACACGCCACTCTCAGGCAGGGGATACCAACCAAAAATGTGGAACAATCAACGCAGCTGCATTCGCACTCATCATCACCTTGATGGCGCAAGGGCAGTGCTTTGCTCATGCTCGGACAAATGCAATCAACAGGTTGCCACTCCCACCTGTGTATCCTGTCTTGCGCCTGCTGCTCCACAGCGGGGTTCCACCACGGGTCCATCAGCATGACGTGGGAGGCAGCGGTCAAGTTGAGCGCCACGCCACCCGCTTTCAGGCTCATGAGGAACACAACGACGTCCGGGTCTTCTGTGAAGTTGGTGATCATCCTATCTCGCACGTCCATGGACATGCTGCCATCCAGCTTGGCACACTTGAGACCCACCTGGGCGTCGCCAGACACCACACACATATTCAAGCTGTGTTGTGTGCCATTCAGTGTCAACTCGACGCTGAATGCATGTATCAAGAGAAGACGTTGCCTCGCCACTGACCAGGCGATTTCAGTGATGCTATCTGGCCTGGGCCATGTTTCTGGCCTGCATGGTGGCATGCGCATTCCTTTCCATGTGTGTTGTGCCCCACTTGTCAATGCCACAGAGCAATCTGCACTTGCTAGGGACATGCAGTGTCTCGACGGTCGGGGTCAACTCTGCCAGAATACCTGACACAGTTGGAACATTCGAACACTGGGGCCGCCTCAGCCACCTGGCACACTGCAGGCCATCCTATGGCCCCTGTGGCGTTTGGAACTGCTCACAACCAACTGAGGTGGCCAACATGCTGACATACTGACATTGCAGGCAATTGCGACGTTGCGGCACCACCACTGTTGGTCGCAAAGGCGCCAACCAGTTGCCAACCGGCCAACGAGCGGAAGACCCCTCCAACCCCTGAATGGTGTCCAAGGCAACATTCAGCTGCACAGGGCCGATGTCTCCCACGCTTCTGTGCTCCCACAATGAACGAACAGACAACAGAGAAGGCAAGCCAAACCACAGACGACAGCCACAGCAAATCATGGCAAACACACGCAGTGAACGTGTCTCGTGCCTGACCCAAAGCCCAGCAGGGGCTCAAGGCATTTCTGCCGTTTTGGATCGCAGGCTGGGGATGCGACCAGCCTCGACACACACCACGTGGAGGTCGTATCATAGCGTATGGAGTGGCACTGACCTGCTCAAGCCTAAAATGTAGTAACTCCAGCATCTTGGTGAACTGGCTGAACACGATCGCCTTGGATGAAGGGTCTTCTTGCCTCATGCGGAACAACTCTTCACGGAGGGCCTCGATCTTTGTGCTGCTCTGAAAGTCTGCTGTGTTGATCCTGCTAAGGATGCTAGCCTCCTTGGCATTCAACGCAGATTTCGGTAGGGATGGATGAGCCCCTGAGAGATCAACAGACAAGGGCCGCTGGCACACAGGGCATGTCACCTGTGTGTGCAAGAGATGTCTTTAGCACAGAATCGGCCACTTCTCCTGCACACATTTGACTTGTGGGGCACCAAACATGCTGAACAGAATTTTGCAACTATTGTTGTCTCATCCAACGCAAAGCAACAGAGCGATATCGAATGCATGTGCATTAGATTTATCAACACTGTAAATGGTTTGAGGGTGGCATTCAAGGCAATCCCACACCTAAATGTGGAGCA